AGAGGGCATAACAGCGAAACAGGGCAGATCAAAACATAACCATTTAAGCAGAATAGTGTTTCACCACCAGATAATTCCGACCCAAAAGTAGTTACCATATTGACTCTTTCCTTGAAGTCCTTGAGTACAACTTCGTATACTGTAGCATTAAGTATATCAAAACAATGTAAAACCATTTAAGAGAATGACAGCATTATAGAGTATTTAGAATCGACTAACAGAAAATGAACAATGGTTTCTGTATAATCTCCTTGTCTTTAAAAGGTTTTTGCTTATACTATCGTACATAATAAAATCCAATAAGATACAACCTGTTTAGACCATTGGAGACAGAAGAACAAAAGCTAGATGAGACTTCAAAACAAGATGGTACTAAATCAGTATTACCTATTAAGATGTCATTTTCTCCAAAATAGCTGTTCCTATCATCCAATCTTCTCTGTCTCATTTCTGTTGAGCTCTTTTTCTGTCAGTAGCTGTCAGTTCGTCTTCTTCATTTAGTTCTCTGCTCCATTCGTTGTGGCCTCCCCGCCACTATTTCTGGGTTCTTTGTATTTTTCTCTTTTTAGAATATCCTGCAATACTTTCTGTAGGGTTGAATTGGTGGTTGCAAATTCCCCCAGTTCCTCTTTATCCTGGAAGCACCTCGTTTTTCCATCAATTTCCAGGGACAGTTGTGCAGGATATCTCAATCTTGGCTGGAGATTATTATCTTTCAAAGCTTGAATTATTTCCCCCCATGCTCTTCGTGATTTGATGGTTTGTGCAGAGAAATCTGCTGTAATTCTGATGGGTATTCCCTTGTAAGTGGTCTGTTTCTTGTCTCTGACAGCTTTTAATATTCTGTTCTTGTATTGAATTTCTGGAATTTTTATTATTATATGCCTGGGTGTTGCTCTGTTTGGGTTGTAGGTAGCTGGGGTCCTGTATGCCTCGTACATCAGAGTATCTTTACCTTTTGCTAAATTAGGAAAATTCTCCTGGATTATTTCTGTGAGTAGCTTTTGTAGTTCACCTGTTTGTGTCCCTACTTCTTCTTTTATGTTCTTAATCCTTAAGTTATGGCTCCTCTTATCATCTTCTTGTCTTTGTATTATTGCTGTTTGTTTCTTTGTTATTTTTAAGAAGTTTTTCATTTCATTCTCCCATATTACAAGTCTGGCCTCCAGCTCAGATAGTCTGTCCTTAGTTTCTTTCAAGCTGTTATGCCAGTCTTGGATAGACTTCTTAATTTCTTGATAGTCCTTTTGAACCTGCTTCACGTACTCTATGCTTTCTCTGTTTTCTCCATCAAGCAATTCTCTCCTCTTTTTCTGTTCTTCCATTCCATCATCTGTTTTTTCCTGGGTGGTGCTTAGCATATCTCTAACTATTCTGCATACTTCTAGCTTCAGGTCATTGATAACTTCATTCCTGAATTGGTCTATGAGGCTCTCTATATGGCGCTTAATGTATATTGGTGCGGTGTCCACTATTGCCTGTTTCTCAGAATTGGGGGCCGAGGAGCCTTTCTTGTTGCTTCCCTTCCCCATATTTTCTGTTCCTTATAAAATGCAAACTTACATAGGAGGCCCGGCTTCCCTGCCTGTCAGCCACAGCCTGATCAAATTGCGCTGGCTAGTTGTTCCCGCCCACCGCTGCGCCCCAGGGAGTCGCGGAGGAGGCAGCCTACGCGGGAGTCGGTCGCTCCTCCGGGCCACCGTCAGACTCTGGGATCTGGGTTAGGCCAGCCTAGGGAGTCCGCCAGCAGCGTCACTCAGGCCAGGCACTTTTCACCAGTCCCGTCCGAGAGGGGAATGTGCGGCTGGAGTTGCCACCGCGCCCTGCTCTTACAGGACTGCCTGAGCCCAGAAAAACCTCCACTGGAGTCAAACTGTGGTAGGGGGTCAGTTTCTCTCACTCACCTCGCCACCAGTCAGTTTTCGTGTATGCCTCCTTGTCCGTCCTGTTTTCGACTCCGTTCGCAGACTCCCGTTCCCAGAGCTTCTGCGCGTCTCTCCTTGCCGAGCCGCTTGTGGAGGCAGCCAGCCGCCGGGCGGCGGGAAATCCAAACCGCGGTTTCCAATGGCGCGGGGTCGAGCCTCCACACCGAGTCTTTTCTGTTCCTATTTTAGCGCCAGGACTGTATTCTAAGTTGGTTTCTCTCAGCCCAGTTCGTTCCTGAGTCAGCAGAGCATATCTCTACCCGTTCATGTCTCCTTAGTCCACATCATTCCTGGCCTCTGAGCCGAGCCTTTCAGAGAGCCTCCGGTAGTTGCTGTTGTCTGTCCGCCATGTTCTCCCGGAAGTCAGTGGTCTGTCCTTTCTTGGGGAACTTTTAGCCTCTCCTCTGGCTCCTTAGGACATGCACTGTGCGGAGTGAGGTGAACGGCAAGTCCAGCTTGCTCACTGATGCGCCCCCTGGTGGAGCCATCAGAATTCTCAAAGACTGCTGGTAGGAATGTAACATTGTACACTCACTTTGGAAATAGTTTAGTAGTTTCTTAAAAATTTAAACTGGGCACAGTGGTGTACACCAATAGTCCCAGCTACAGAAGGCTGAGCAGGAGGATCACTTGAGTCCAGGAGCCCAGGAGATCAAGACCAGCCTGGGCAACACAGTGAGCCCACACTGTCATACAACAAAACAAACATATGCATATACCCATTGTGTAACCCAGCTGTTCCAGGAAAAAAGAATGTGTGTGCCCACATGAAGTTGTTTTTGTTGTTGTTTTGTTTTGTGTTTTTTGAGACAGGGTCTTACTATGCAGTGCAGGCTGGCCTTGAGCTCCCTTTGTAGTCCATAGTGGTCTTGAACTTGCAACGATCCTTGTGCCTCAGCCTCCCTACTGTTGGGATTACAGGTATATGCCACCACGCCCAGTCCACATGAAATTTCTATATAACAATATAAAGGTGCCTCAATTCACTAGCACTTTTGTTTGTGAACAGTATGGTTTGCACACAGAAGCATTTGGCAAAATTTTATTTTTGTTTGTGAATTCTGGCCATCTTTTCGAGAATCCTGGGACGAATTAAGTTTGTGAAGCAAGGTATCATAGTACTTGTTAATATCCCTAACTGGAGGGCCTGGGGATTTAGCTCAGCGGCATAAGCACCTGCCTTGCAAGCAGGCAGTCGTGAGTTTGACCCTCGGTACCGATAAAAAGGAAAAAGACCAAAAAAAAAAATCCCTAACTGGAAACAAGTCAAAGATCCACCAACAATTATTTGCATAAATTAATTACAGATATTACACATATATTTGTACAACGGACCACTACTGAACAATTGAAAAGAGTAAATTTTATTTATTTAGAGAGAGGGTCTCACTGTGTCATCCAGGCTGGCCTTGAACTCACTGTGTAGTTCAGGCTGGCCTCAAACTTGAGGTGATCCTTAGTTTCTGGAGTGCTGGTATTATAGATATGTGCCAGCATGCCCAATGACAAAAGTAAATCATTGATATAACTGTGCTGAACTAAGCCAAAGAGAACACACTGTATGGTACATTTGTATCAAACTCTATATGTTGCAAACCAGTCAGCGTATAGTGACAGAAACCAGTCTGAAGTGACAGTGCTGGAGAGGAAGGGGGCCTGGGTAACACAGGAAGTTTTGCGAGGTGATGGATAGGTTCTTTCTGTGTAGCTCTCAGGGCGTCTCTGGAGTCACTGGTCACAGAACAGAGCCATCACCCTGTGTGGGTTTGCCAGGCCCTTGCCAGCTCCAGGCACGCACTCATGAGTGTTGTTACCAAGCAGAGAATGTGGTTCTCTTAGGAACTGTCCAAGCCACAAGGACAGGTGTGGGAACAGTGGGCTACTTACCCACCATGCCCAGGCCAGCGTCCTGACCACTTCCTGGACCTTCTGGGTGTCAGCTTTCATGGACACTGGGTCTGTGAAATACAGTGTCAACTGTAGCGTGTCAGCTCCCTAACAGCCACATTTAAAAAAAAACTTCAGTTACTTTTCTCCTACTGCTGCAAGAGGTTCTGGAGAGGGAGGAGATTGATGCGTGGACTTCCCTCTCTGTCTTTTTTTTTTTTTTTGTGTGCCAGGGGATTGAACTCACAACCTTGTGCTTGCCAGGTAGGCACTTATGCCACTGAGCTAAACCCCCAGCCTTTCCTTCTCTGTCTTAAAATGCCCCTACCACACCATTGTGAAGCATTCTGGTGCTGAAGCATTCTGCTGTGCTGATGTGTTGGGTCACTGCTCTGGTTTTTATGTGTAGTTCTGAAGAGTCCTGGGCCTCCATGAGAAACCTGTAAACAGCCTGCTCTGCTGATTCCTGATTGGCTGCTTCAGAGTGTGATTCCCAGGAAGTAAGAGACTCGGTCCCCTGGCCCACTGCATACATGACCCAGAAAGTCTGCATACTTTGGGAGGCTCCAGCCTCAGCCCTGGCCTCTCTTAGCCCAACAGCTTCATTTCCCATCAGGGCCTCCCTTGCAGAAAAAGAGCATGGTTTAGGAACAATAAGTAATGTCACTGGTCTCACCTGTGTGGTGATAAGGGTGGTCCTTACCTGTAGCCCCAGCTACTCAGGAGACTGAGTCAGGAGGATAGTTTGAGCCCGGGAGTTCAAGGCCAGCCTGGGTAACAGAGTGACATATCCCATCTCAAAAAGAAAGAAGGAGGGTGTTTCTTCAAAGCTCATTGGAGGATTCATCCAGAAGGTCCCTTTAGACCCCTTATAAGAGAGATGAGGGGAGCCTTTCTGAGGGGAGGATGAGTATTTCCTCGTGGGTCCCAGATGAAAGCAACGTGGCTACTCTGAGGTGCATATGCAAAATGTCTGCACATTCCTGTGCTCACTGAATTTGGTGACAAACGTGAATTGTGTTTATTACCACTAGGGAGAAGTGTCCCCCACAGGCTGACCCCCTTCTTCCTGTGGTTCCCCAGCATTTCCAGAACTCTAGGATCTTTTCCTGTGGGCCTTTCCCATTGGTAAGTACCACCTGAGTTGGTGCTGGATTGACAAGCGGCGCCCTTATGTCCCTGTCCTAGACTATGGCTTCCCAGACCTCACGGAGAAGGCAGGGCCGATGGACTTGGATGATGCTGGCCAGGCTGCGGAGCTGCTCAGCCTCCCCTCCACTGTGCCAAAGCTGAACCTGGTAGAGCCGCCCTGGCAGGTGCCTCTGGAAGAGGAGGAGGAAGAGGAGGAGGAGAGGGAGAAGGAGGAGGTGGAGAGGGACGAGGAGGACGAGGAGGAGGAACTGCTGCCTGTGAGCGGGTCCCAGGAGGAAGCCACCATACAGGCTCGAGACTTTGTCCCCAGCAGCAACAGCCCGGCCCCAGGTGTCCTGGGACACAGGCATGAGGAGTCTGGGGACCAGGCCGCATCAGGCGTGGAGGTGGAGAGCAGCGTGGAGCCCAGCTCGTCTCTGCCCTTGGTCACTCCCAGCATGGTGACCCTAGGGCCTCAGGACCTCCCCATAAAGGAGGCCGGGGCCACCATGCTGCTGGCAGCCGGATCCCGGGTAGAGTTTGAGATCCCTGGAGAGGCCAGCAAGGAGGCTACCGTGGGAATCGGCAGGGAAGTGGCTTCATCCTTATCCCCAGCTTCGTTCCTGCAGACCGAAGCTTCCCTCAGGGCTGAGATCCTGGATGAGGGCCGTCCATACCCCAGGACCCCTGCCCCTTCTCCATCTGCCCCCCGAGACTCTGCACCAATGCTGTCCTCTGCCATCCCAGGACAGGAAGGTGTCAGCCAGCAGCCCCCAAGGGGATCTGTGGCAGAAGCTCCTTCCAGAACTCCATGGGACTCCACTCAGGTGAGGCCCTTCCTCCCCTGGGTCTGCAGAGTGTGGGGTACTCCATGTGTCGCCTGGTGCAGGCTGTTGGCTCCCATCTGTGGGCAGCCCTCTGCCCCCTGCTCCTCCAGGTCTTGCCTCTCCCTGGTGCCCGAGTGTCACCCACTTTTGTCTCCTGGCACAGGTGATCTGCAAAGACTGGAGCAACCTGGCTGGGAAGAACTACATCATCCTGAACATGACTGAGAACATAGACTGTGTGAGTGCTGGGCAAGGCTGGTGGGAGGAGGGTGGCCAGGGCAGGTGCTGGGCACAGCAGGGTGTGGGCAGTGGCTCTGTCTTTACTGCTCAGTGCTAACCCAGAACTGGCACCACCGACACCAAAAATGCAACGCACTTTCTGTATTATAAAATTTGTAAGGGCTCTTCTGTACTTGCCTCCTTCTCTTTTCAGTTTAAAAGAATCCTTTTGTTTCTGTGCACAGTATTGTCTGTGATATTGTAGTTCTTTGTTTTGTGTTTCAAGACTGGGACTCACTGTGCTGCCCAGTCTGGGCTCAAGTGACCCTCTTTTCTCACCCACCATAGTAGTGACACCAAAGGCATGTGTCATCATGCCCAGAAAAATCTTTATAAAAACTTGGTTTTCTCCGTGTGTGAGTACTTCCCCCATTGGTTTGCCTTGGCCCGGTTTTTCACATACAGGCTCTCCTGCATTTCTGCCAGCACTCGCTGTTAGCTTAGGGCTGGGTGGAGCTGTTTTTGGTGCTGGCGATGGGGACTGAGGCCTGGTGCATGCCTGGTGAGGCCTGGTGCTCTACGGTTGAGCTCTATTCCCAGCCCTTATCTGAAACTTTGAGATAGAGTCTCTCTAGGTTGGCAAACCTGGTTTGGAACTTGTGATCTTTTTGCCTCAACCTCCCAAGTAGCTAGGATTACAGGTGAAATTTCTCAAGTCAGCATCACTGTGTCCTTCTTTCTAGGGTGTTTAGAATTTTTGAAAAGGGACGTCTGTTCCCCAGAACAGTGAAGGGCTGGTTGTCAGTGTCCAGGGATCCACACTGGGACAGAGGCGAGGGTGTCTCAGGATTCTAAGTATTCATGTAGAAATAGTGGAAATAGTGATTATCATTCACTTCCCCAAAGCCACCACACACACACACAGGCACACACAGGCACACACAGGCATGCACGCACGCATGCACACACACATGCACGCACACATGCACACACACATGCACGTGTATCTACTCAATTGTGCCTGGTGTCCTCTAGGTCAGGACCGTGCTTCTTTAAAGTTTCTGAGGCTGAAGGTGTCACTCTGTGGTCCATCTTCTGTGGTTGTGAGGCCTTCCCAGCACTTGGGGAAAAGTACAAAAGCAGTTAGACTTCGATCCTCTACTGGGAGAAGAACGTGGGTCAGGCTTGCAGCATGAGGGGAGAAGCCTGGGGCCAGGGGTTTCTTCACAGCCTCCTAACCAGTTCCTTTGTTCTGATCCTGGGAGTTAACAGTGCTGATTAAACAGTGGAGTTTCTGGGATGTGGGTCATCAGGGACTGATTACAGCTCAGCTTCTATGTCTCAGCAAGTCCTAAGCCAGCCCACTTTGCCATCCAAATCATGTTGCTTGGCTTCGTCAGCTGCTTGGCTTTACATTTGTGTCTGGTGTCTTCGAGGTTAAATTCTTTACTCTTGTTCAGTGAGTTCAATGGGAAAGAAAGCAGATGCATGTGTTTAATCCAAATGTGAGCAGAGTGAATTAGGTGGGGTAGGACACAGGTAGTGTCAGCCCCCAGGAGGCTGAGGCAAGAGGGTTGTGAGTTTGAAGCCAGCCTGGACTATATAGTTAGGCCCTGCCTAAAAACAACAGCAACAGCAAAGAGGTGGCCCCAACATCAATATAAACGGAGGGGTTTTAACACAGCTGATGCGTTTCTCTTCTTACTGATACTCAAACACCTCATCTTTACCAATGAAAGTGTCCTTGTTTTGGCCTCTGCCTCATTTTTAAGTTGGTTTTGTTTTGTTTTTTGTTTGCTTTTTTGAGACAGGATCTCACTATGCAGTTCAGACTTACCTTAAACTCAGTATGCAGCCCATGCTGGCTTTGAACTCATGGCAGTCCTCCTGCCTCAGCCTCCCAAGTACTTGGATTTTAGATGTGTCTCACCATGCCTGGCTTCTGCATTCTTCAGGCCAACCTGTTAATGTCTGATACTCTCCTTATCTCCATCCCCCAGTATGGAATCAACATTTCTGCGAGGAGCCCTTATTCTCATTACTGAGAAAGGTACTGAGGCCCCGCAGTGTGATACTTGAGACCCTTAAATCTTTGGCAGATGTATTTGTACTTTTTTTGAAACATGGTCTCATTGTGTAGTTCAGACTGTCCTCGAGCTCACTATGTAGCTCAGTCTGGCCTCAATCGCGCAGCTCTCCTGTCTCAGCCTCCCGAGTGCTGGGATTACAGGTGTACACTACCTCACCTGGCTACTTGCACATTTTTGCTGTGCATATTTGAATAATAAAGCCTGATGTTCATATCTCTCTTTTCCCACAGATATTAAAATGCTTCTAACATGTTGTCCTTGTTTTGTCTTTTGTGTTATTTAAATTTAATATGTAACATCCCAGCTATCAATTTTTGGGTTTCTTTTAGTGTAGCCAAAACTAAAATTTACCATCTAGACATTTGCAAATTCCAGTCCAGCTGTGTATGTATATTCATGTTCTTGTGAAACAGGTTCCTGGTACTTTTTCATCTTCAAAACTGAAACTCTGGGCCTGTTAACAACTTCCTATTCCTTTCTCCCCTCCCCCGAACTCCTGGCAACCACCTTTCTCTTTTCAGTTTCTAAGAATTCAGCCCCTTCAAATACCTGAGCTGGGTCTTGTCATACAGGATTTATCTTTGAAGTCCAGTCCTTTTCTGCTCAGTGTTCACGGCTGGTACCTGTGGTAGCATGTGTCAGAGTTTCTTTCTTTTTCAAGGCTTAAACTGTTTCGTGTATGAACAGAACACATTTGTTCACCCGTCCACTTCACCTGGACGTGGGAGTCGCTCCCATTTCACCTGCTGTGAATGTAGGTTGCAGGTGTCTCGCCGTGTCCCGTTTCTGGCTCTGTGGGTCCATTCCCAGAAGCGGGATTTTTCCATCATATAATCATTCCACTTCAGTTTCACTGAGGACCCTCCACACTGTTTCCCACACCAGCTGCCCCGTCTTCCATTCACAGCAGCACAGGTCTAGGGGCACCTTTGCGGTGCCTCCCTGTGGTTTCAGTTGCGTTTTCCTGATAAAGAAGTGTGACGAGCACCAGTCACTATTATCAGCAGCCACGGTCTGCTCCACTCTATCAGTATACTTGTTTATTTGCAGCAAGACCATCGCGTATCTCTGCTGCTTCCTCTGGTTGAGTTTCCTGCTTCCTCCAGTAGTATTAATCAGCTTCTTTTCAGTGTGACACAATACCTCAGATAAACAGCTTGCCGGCAGTTTGCTGTTGCTTGTGGTTTTGTCTGGTCAGCTGGTGGCTTGCTTTGGGAGCTGTGGCAAATCAGCTCACTGTGGTGTAGAGCAAACATGGAGGCATTTGCAGCAGCAGAGGAGCAGAGCCCGGAGCCTAATCTCCCTGCAGGACATCCTCCAAAGCTGCGGTCTTGCCTGCAGCCCCTCCCAGTTTCCCTTCCTCCCACTGGCACACCAGGCCAGCCATCTAGTCTTTAACGCATTGCCTTTTGGGAGACCTTTAAGATCCAAACCATCATATTCTTTGGTTTTTTGAGACACGGTCTCACTGTGTAGTTTAGGCTGGCCTTGCACTCACTATGTAGCCCACGCTGGCCTCAAACTCATGGCAGTCATCCTGCCTCAGTCTCCCAAGTGCTGGGATTATAGGGGTGCACCACCACACCCAACTCAAGCCATTATATTCTGCCCTGACCCTCTAAGGCTCACAGCCTCATGTCAGTCTCACAATGCCAAATGGACTCATTCCATCTCAAGACTCCCCAAGGCCCTAATAGTTCCAGCATTGCTCAAAAGTCCAAGTCCAGAGTCTCCTCAGTGAAAGTCAGGTAGGTCCATACTTCCAGCATGTGACAGTACAGTGCGAACATCCCCATTCCAAAAGAGAGGATGAGAAAAACAGCAGCAGAGCTAAACCAAAGGAAGGGCGAAGCCCGGAAGGGCAAATACTAATTCTCTGTGTGCTTGGGACTTGAGAACTGCGACTGGGACTTGAGAACTCTCTTGAGGCTGCTTTCTGGGACTCTTGACACTGCCACACTGCCTGCCCCAGGTCGTCCCTGAAATCTCATCAAATGCTTCTGTGACCCCACAACTCTTGCATTCAGCAGGCCTGTAAAACATTTACTATGCAGCTGACACAAGGTCTGTGCCAGCAGAGGCAGTTGCCGGGCCCCCTGGACTGTGACAGTCATGGTCTCTAAGTGCCTGGACAGCTGAACACACGGACATGAATCCTGGGCAACACTTCCCAAGCATTCTGTGATGAAAAGTGGGGTCTTGCTGATTCCTGAGATGCCCTCAAGGCCTCTTTCCTATGTCCAGGTGCAAAGTGCTTGGCTCCTTTTTAATGTCACTAATCTCTACACCCTCTTTGGTCCGACTTTAAGGGCTCTCCTTTTCTGACCAAACTGCAAGTTTTTCAAATCTTTCCACTCTGCTAAATTTCCATTCATATAGATGTGGCTAAAAGCAGCCAGCAGTACTAAATACCACTGCCTGAATATCACCTAGAATTTTGCTCCACCAGATTATTTAGTCCATAATCTTTAAACTCAGCCTCCACAAAATCTCAAGGCATGGTCCAAATGTAGGCCCGCTATTTTCTAGCACATAACATGAAGACCTCTACTCTATTTCCTTGCAGAGTCCCCATTCCCACCTGAAAACTCATTGGCAAGACTTTACTGCCTGTGTTCTTACTAGCATTCTTGTCTCTGAGCTCCACTACAGCACTCCAGGCTTGGTCTAGCCGACTCCTCAGATTTCCCAAACACTTCCCATTACCCAGCTCCAAAGGCTACTGAACCACCTTGTTTAGTAGAATCATGGCAATAATCCCACCTCTCAGTGCCAGTTCTCTATGTTTAATAGTCAGCTTCCCATTACTGTGACAAAATACCTGAGATAAACAATTTATAAAGAGGGAAAGTTTGTTTTGGGTCCTGGTTCCAGAGGTCAGTGCTTTATCATGGTGGGAGTGGTAGTAAAGGAGGCCACTCATTCATAGCAGCCAGGAAGCAGAGAACCCTAATGGGACCCTAATGTCCCCTTTGGGGGACACCCAGTGACATGAATTCCTTCCACTAGGTCTCATTTCTTAGCTCCCCATACCCCCTGGGAGGGCCCAAGCCTTTAGCACATGGCCTCTGAGGGACATTAAGATGCAGACCCTAGCAGTGTCCTTTAGTAGCTCTTCCTGCAAGGATACCTCTGCTTTTATTTATGTAAAGATGTCTTTAATTTTCTTGCATTTTGTTGTACCCAGGGTTTGAAAGAGAATAGGTTTAATACAGGGCACATAATTTATAGAATTATTTTACAATATTCACCCAAAAAATCAAATGCAGAAGAATACATCTCTGCACAGCAGAGACCCAAAGAATCCAGCCAAGGGCCTGGATCCCATGCCAGTGTTCTGCATGAGTCCAGTTGAAGGCCATGGCAGCATCCCCCACAAGTCCAGTTGGAGGGCTAGAGTCCCTGACAATGTCTCCTGCAAATCTGTATCAAGGGTGTATACTGGGAAGACCCAAAGGTCAGCAATGGACACTAGAAAGTCTGCACCAGTGGAATGAAGGATCTGTGCCAGCAGGCTGAGGGATCTGCACTGGAGCCAGGAATCAATGCTCAAGGCAAGGACCAGAACTCCCTCAAAGAGCAGAGCAGCCATCCTCAGCGACAGTGAGGTCCTGAGCTCTTCCAACAGTGAGAACAGCTGAGTGCATACCAGGAAAACCAGCACGACAAGCTTCTCCAGGAGAATCAACAGCACACCCTTTTTCCCTCATTCCTGCTTTGTATGCTGTTGGCAACAATCCTCAGGTGGGTGATCTGCACCCAGAACCACGCTGATTCAGTTCAGGTGGGTGTCACAACTTGACCATTAGTTAATCCACCACACATTCCTTTTTGTAAATGTACTTTGAAATAATTTCAAATTTATAGAAAGAATAGTACAAATTCTACAAGCACTTCAGCCTGATTTACCAGTTGTGTGAATTTTTCAAACAATTTGAGAAAAGCTGAAGGTATCGTTCCCTTTTGGCCCATCCTAAATACATTAGTATGTGTTTCCCTCAGAAAAAAATATCCTCTATATAACCACAATACAGTGATCAAAGTCAGGGATTAACATTTGTGCAAACTTATGAGTTGATCTATCTGCTTCATTATTTGAGGTTTTACCAATGGTCCCAATAAATATTTTGCAGCTTGTCACCCCTTATGGTCCAGGATATCAGAGGACAGTGCCTGCATTTACCTCTCACATCTCTAGTCTCCTTTAGTTTGCAAAAGTCCCAGCCTCTCTTTGTTTGATGATTTTGATTTTTTTTTTAGCTTTTTGAGACAAGGTCTCACTATGCGGTTTAGGCTGGCCTTGAGCTCACTTTGTAGCCCAGGCTGGTCTTGAACTTGCAACGATCCTCCTGCCTCAGCCTTCCGAGTGCTGGGATTACAGGCATGTGCCACCACGCCCGGCTCTTCAATTTTGATATATTTGAAAAGAACAGGAATAACGGTGACTTATGGAGAGGCCATATCTTCAGGAAAAGGCAGAACCGTGTCAGCAGTGTCTCAGAAAAGTTTTACAAGCTAGAGCTCCATCTGTGGGGATTTGATCTTCCAGCTCTGCATGCACTGTGAAGACTTGCCAGCTTCTGCTTCACATTAGATCACAGGAAACTGAAACTGCAAAGAATCTAGCAGAGGAAGCAGGAAGACAGAGTGGGGGCATTCAGAGCTATCAGCTGGGAGTTCCAAAACCAGAAGAGAGCCCTTACTCTGAAACGCAGGGATCCTAGCCTTTCCCAGCACCATGGAGAGAGGCACAACAGGCTAGGGCTTTGATGGTCCTTTGAGAAACCCCAAGGACATGGGCACAGAAGCAGAGCTGGCCACGTTGTTTTTCCCTGGTCCAGACCTGGAACTGGCCATCTTTTCGAGAAGCTCTTACTGCTTTTCATGAGGGGAGGTATTTAGAAACCAAGCTCTGGCTGCAGGAAGGCTTATGGCCACGGAGCTGTCTGTGCCCTGGGCCTTCTAGTGAATGATGTGAAGTCTGAGTTGAGTCTGTTTTTCCTTTTCCAGTTGTCACAGCACCTTTGAATAAGTGTTTTTCTTACCTTACTTTACCTTTCCACTAGAGAACCTAAGGCCTTCACATTGTAATACATCCCCTAGCCCTTTCCTATTGTTCAACTTGGGTCAGGATCTCAGTAATTTACTAAGTTGCCAAACCCAGGCCCGAACTTGTGGTCTTCCCATCTCAAACTCTCGAAGTACTGGGATTAGATTTGCACCACCATACCAGGCTAAGCTACAGCCTCAGATACTTTTCTTGTAATCTTCCCAGGGTGTTAGGACCTCCATCTTCAGATGGGAAAATTGAAGCTCAGAAAGGTGTAGTATCTTGCTGACAATCACAGAGCTGATAAAGAGCAGAAACAAGACTGCAATCCAGACTTACGAGATTCCAAAGTCAGGGCTTCTTCCCTTTACCACAAACACTTGATTTTTCTGTCTCACAAGTGGTGTGACGTCTGTCATCATCAGATCCTGTGGGTGTGAGCTGGGCAGTATCTGGCCAGGAGAGTCAGCCTGTGCATGGGTGGAGCGAGCCCTGTGGCAGGATGGGAGCACTGGAATCCAGTGCTTGCACCCTGCCCTGGGCAGGCAAGGCCAGCCCTATCCCTGAGGAAAGCAGGGACCTGACAGGAGCTGCAGGTTCCCTGGCTGCTGAGTGGCTGCTTCCCAGGCTTCACATTAAAAGGGCATTGCGCTGGAGGCCAGTAAATACCAGGGCTTGCGGCTGTGCCTGCACTCACCATGGCAACCAGAAACATGGGTCCAGCATCTCAGTCACCCTGGCAGCCTTTTGGTTGGCATGACAACCAGCAACCACTTGTTGGCAGAGATGTTGGGAGTGGAGAGAGATCCTGTGAGATGCCCATAGTTCCTGAGAGCCCTGGCTCTTGGCCCTGGTGGCTCTTAGCCCCAAGGTAGCACCCATGGGTGAACTGAGCAGTGGGAAAGGTGTGGCTGGGGCTTGAGAGCCTGCATGCATAGACAGGAGGCGAGGGCTGTGGAAGGGAGCTGGAGGCTGCCGTTCCCTGTGTTCCTGTCCTGGGCCAGGCTCCTGTTTGTGTTTTAATTGTGTGATTACTGGTGCACATGGGAAGAAAAAGTGTCTGAGTGTGTGTGAAACTGAAAACAGGTCTTCTCTCGCTCCTTGTGCTATAGGTGTAGAGTCTTCTCTGAGATCACTCTTTGGGTGGCCCTGGTAACAGCACTGACACCAGGCTGTGCCTATGCCTGCCACCAGCTGCCTAGTGCTCTGGTGCTGTCTTTGCATCTGAGTGTGATCCCTCTTCCTATGTTCATCCTGTGCCACACATTTCATGCCAGGCACAAGGCAATGGGTACTAACCCATGTCCTCAGCTTGTCTACCACTGTGTGTGGGTGTGTCTGTCACCTTGGTCAGTGGTGTCTCTGGGCTGACCCATGTCTTCCTCATGTGGGAGGCTGAGCAGGGTACACCTTGGGGTTCTCACCAGCAGCAAGCTTGTAGCCAGCTTGTAGCTGGTCCCCAGAGCTGCCTCAGAGAGCCCAAGGATCCTCTGGCCACTGATTGAAGGTGGAATGGGCCTGGTGGAAGACGAGGGGTCCAGAGCTTCTGTCCCTGCCTTGCAGGAGGTATTCCGGCAAAACCGGGGGCTGCGGCTCCTGGCCCTGGTGGAGGAGGTACTGCCCCGCCACCGCCGTGGCCATCATGGGGACTGGCACATCTCTCTGAGCAAGCCCAGTGAGAAGGAGCAGCACCTCTTGATGACGCTGGTGGGCGAGCAGGGTGAGCGGGGTTGCAGGCGGGCCCAAGCAGGGTGTAGGCACTGACCCAAAGGAGTTCTGGTGGGGGTGTGTGTGAACCTGGAGCAGTAGCAAACAGCGGGCCCTCCACATGGGTGAGGGCTGAGGTGGCCACCAGTATTACAGCAGATGTTAGATGACCCCCCATGTCATCTGAGCTTGTAGGTGGGTGGGGCCTGGAGACCCCCTAGGCAGAGCCATGCCTAGGCTGATGCCCATGTCTCTGCCCCCAGGGGTGGTGCCCACCCAAGATGTCCTTTCCATGCTGGGTGACATCCGCAGGAGTCTGGAGGAGGTGAGAGTGTGGGACTGGGGTCACCTGGAACACACAGCCCTCTGGGGATTTCAGGCCTCATGGGGGAGGTGGGCAGGGGACACTTTGTTACATGCAATGCTTGCACAGGTTGGGTGGAGAGGGGCTGTGGGCAGTGGTGGGAGAAGCCATCATGACAGGAGGGATATGGGAGAAACACCATGTCATGCTACGGGAACCAGAGTACCCATGAAGTACCCACTGGGACGTCAGCCAAGCATCCTGAAAGGTAGTGGTCAGTGTCCCTGGTGGGGGCCTGAGCAGGGTGGGCAGTGGGGGTAGGCTGGGAAATGGGGGTACAGGCTGGGCCAGGAAACCAGCAACATACAGGCCAGGGTGGGTCATGGTCCTGGGGCTTTTGCCCCTCATACCATCTTTGCTAAAGTGGGGATTTTCTGCCTCTGACAGGATAGTCACCATGTCTACCAAGATGCCCAACATGCCTTTGGGCCGCACTGACCTATCATTGCTCTTCCTCACCCTTCTGGCTCTGCAGGGTTTGATCCTAAGCCTCTGCCTTGGCTGTCGCAGGCATGGGAGTGGGGTGGTTGTGCCCACAGGACTTACTTCATCCTTCCTTTGCTGTCTCATGGGGCCCAAAGGCTTAAAAGTCACCCTTCTGAGTGCTATAATGTCCCCACTTAGGTGGAGCTGGAGCCCACAAGCTGATGGGCTCATGGGCACTGGTGGGTGCACACAGGCCTGCCTGCCTCTTGCCCCACCCTGCCGGGCACTCAGTTCAGCCAGACCCGACAGAAGGCACGCTGGGTTTCTAAAAGTGCAGAGTGAAGGATTTAGCAAAGACACTGGGGGTGACTTCAGCAAGAAAAATGAACACTTGCTAATTTCTAAAGACAGAGAAACGTGTGCTGGAGATGAGTGGGGGGGGGGCAGGAGCCATGGCCTTAGAAGCCCCTGAGCAGTCCAGACCTCTGCACCAGGGCCTCCTACCACCCCTGCCAGGTGCTGAGGTGCTGGGAGCTCTGTCCAGCCCTGGGGTGCTACAGCCCATGGGGAGACACCAGGTCCAGTGGGGTTGGGGGAGAGTGCTGGGTGGCCACATGCCATCAGGGAGCCCTCAGGAGATATGGGAGGAAAATGACTAGCTGTAGGGGACTGTCTCCATGGAGGCCAGAGCCACAACCAGGCTCTCTGGGTTGGGTCAGAGCAGAGGCCATGGTGAGGAGCTGAGGGCCTGGGAAGTGGCCATGGGGTGAAGCTTGGAGGTGTCCCCAAGTGGATAGGGTGGAGATGGGTAGACAGTGAGGCTCTGGGAGTACCGCTCCTAGCCTCTGAGAGCAGTGGGAGCTACCTCTGAGAGCCCCAAGGTGCCCACCACTGAGGGTCGGCCCCTCTTGCCCCAGATTGGCATCCAAAACTACTCCACAACCAGCAGCTGCCAGGCACGGGCCACCCAGGTGCGCAGTGACTATGGGACACTCTTTGTGGTGCTGGTGATCATCGGTGTCATCTGCTTCATCATCATTGTGCTGGGCCTGCTCTACAACTGCTGGCAGCGTCGGCTGCCCAAACTCAAGCACGTGGTGAGCCTGGGGCAGGGCTGGGGCTGGAGAGGAGGCCTAGAGAGCCCCAAAAGTCCTGGGCATTCAGGACCGGGTGGCCCAGCTGCTGGCCCCAAGGGTGCTGGAGGTTCGGAGTAAGTGCTGGTCCCACTTATGGGCAGGAGAAGTGGGCAGCCCCTGTACACACTGCAGCCCAGCTCCTGCTGTGAGCCATGGAGTCCCTGCTGCCCAGAACAGGGGTGAGGTGGAGGGACCATAATATGCCAAGGAGGCTGCAAAGTCTTCTTTGTGGAAAAGATTGCTAAGTTGCTCTGTGGACCTCACATCTGCGGTGCCTTGGGGACCCCAATGAGGGGCTTTCCTGTACCAGCAGCTGCTCTGGTTGGGACACAGCCCCGTACCCTGTCCCCGCAGTCGCATGGCGAGGAGCTGCGCTTCGTGGAGAACGGCTGCCACGACAACCCCACGCTGGACGTGGCCAGCGACAGCCAGTCAGAGATGCAGGAGAAGCAGCCGAGCCTGAATGGCGGCGCGCTCAATGGCCCAGGAAGCTGGAGTGCGCTCATGGGGGGCAAGCGCGACCCCGAGGACTCGGATGTGTTCGAAGAGGACACACACCTGTGATGGTCCGGACGCGGGCGCTGCGCCTGGCTACCCCACCCCGCCACGCGCCCGTGGCCGACCCATTAAACCCGCCCGGCCCCGGGCACCGCGCCTCTGAGTCGTTCTTACTGGGGTGGGCGCTCAATCCTCTCGTAAAGGTCGACTGGTTCTGGGGTGGGTGGGGTCGATCCTCAGCAGGGCTTGGTCCTCGGGCTGGGATCAGTATAGATCCTCCAGGTGGGCTGGGTTCTTCGAAGAGTCGACCCTGAGGTGGGCTCGGTGCAGGTCCATGGATCCGAGGGCAGGTTCGGTCTTCCCGAACGCATTCTGTCCTCCAGCAGGCTCCGTCCACGGAGCCAGGTCGATCGGTCCTCCAGGCGCCAGGCGCCGCTGCAGAACCGGAACACAGCTGAGAGGGGCGGAGCTGCGGGCGGGCGGGTTAGGTCTCCGCGCATGTTTACATCTGGCGGAGCTCCGCGTCGCTCGGCTGGGGTCCGAGCGGCCGCGCCATGGACACCAGCGACCTGTTCGCTAGCTGCAGGAAAGGGGATGTGAATCGCGTGCGGTGAGAACCCCGCGGGGACCGGGGCGGCTGCATGGTGGCGGCGGTGCAGTGGCGCCGGGGGTGGCTGTGTTGTGGCGATAGTGCGGTGGCTCCGACGCCGCTGCTGCGAACCTGGCTGGGGTCGCCACCCCTCACGGTCAAGGAATGCGGGGAGTTACTTGCCCGGCACTTTGCGCTACCTGCCATTCCATCACTACCCCCTCTTCACCCTCCCCCGGCGCTCACCAAGCTCCAAACCCGCCCGGGGAGCTTCCCAAGTTGAAGGCCACTCAGCACTCCCGGTACAGTCGCGGAAGCTTCCCTGGGCTGCGGGTCCCCAGGGACGCCCCACCCTCGCAGTAGCTCACTCAGCTTGACCCCTTCTCACTGCACCCCACAAACAGCTGTCTCCCAACTTCTGCCCGCTGAATCTGTCCTCTTCTCCCCAGCGCTCCACTCCTGGGGATGCGGCCAGCAGCGTCCCAGTGGTCCCCTGCCCTTCCTAGCTACTGTCCGGGCTCTAGCTGAAGGAGGGGCCTCACCCCTAGCTGTTCCCCCTTTTCTGAAAGGCCTAGCCGGCAGGGTGGTACCAGTATTCAGCACGGTGCCTTTGTTTCCTACCGAGGCATGGTCCCCCTTGATCTCCTCCTGGGGAACGGGAACCACTGCTGACCCCAACTGTGACCTTCCTACCCAGGTACCTGCTGGAGCAGCGTGATGTGGAGGTGAACGTGCGGGACAAGTGGGACAGCACCCCACTGTGAGTGCCAGGCAGGGGGGTAATGGCCTGGAGGTAGAGGGGCTCTGCTTTGCTGATAGCTGCCTCCTGGCCTTCCTTCCTTCATACTCAGGTATTATGCCTGCCTATGCGGGCACGAGGAGCTGGTGCTGTACCTCCTGGCCAATGGTGAGAGGGTCCCTTGTGTATGAGTGTGTAGGTGTGTGTGTACCTGTGTGCATGCATGTGTGAGTGAGTGCACAGAGCACCCTCGTGCCTCTGCCTTGCAGGGGTAGTAGGGGTAGGGTGGCTTGGGTACGGGGAAGGGGTCTCTGGGCTTACTTCGGGCTTTGGCGTGGGGAGCTGAGATGAGAACCTAGAAGATCAGGAGCCCTTGGGCCCTCCCTGGCCATAGCCCTGGCCCACTGACCACTGAGCCCACACCCTAGGAGCCCGTTGTGAGGCCAACACCTTCGACGGTGAGCGCTGCCTCTATGGGGCGCTGAGTGATGCCATCCGCCGGGCACTACGTGACTACAGACAGGTCACAGCTGCCTGCAGACGCCATGACTACTACAACGACTTCCTGCAGCGGTGAGGGGCCAGGAGGGCTGGGGGGCACTGTGCATATATGCACAGGTACCAGTGGCTCAGGGTTCAACAAACAGTCACAGCACCCCCTTCACTGTCCCCAGGCTCCTGGAGCAGGGTATCCACAGTGATGTGGTCTTCGTGGTACATGGAAAGCGGTTCCGGGCACACCGGTGCATCCTGCGAGCTCGAAGCACCTACTTCGCCAACATGCTTGACACCAAGTGGAAGGGCAAGAGCATGGTGGTCCTCAGGCATCCCCTGGTGTGTCCCTCAGGGTGATAGACGCTGATTATTCAAGACAGTGGAGTTCTTGCTGGTGGCTGCCCCTGACCTCTTGACTGTCTGCCCACAGATCAACCCGGTGGCCTTTGGGGCCCTGCTTCAGTACTTGTACACAGGTGATGCTCTTGCTGGGGTTCGAGGGTTGGCTTGGGTGACCCATCCCTTCTCTCCATGGTCTCTGCCATGGTGGCTACCTCTGGGGTCATCTTACAGGGTGGGGGGAGAACCTGTCCCACCTGAAACTCAGCCCTATCTTGTCCTTGAGGGCCTTCAGAATGGAGAGACCAGGGTGAACTGGGTGGGTGGTGCCACCTAGGAGGCCCCTTCCCTGTCTTCTGACACCCCACACTACCCTCAGGCCACCTGGACATTGGTGTGGAGCACGTCAGCGACTGTGAGCGCCTGGCCAAGCAGTGCCAGCTGTGGGACCTGCTCAGCAACCTGGAAGCCAAGTGCGAGAAGGTGTCCGAGTTCGGTGCGTGCAGGGCCCCAGGCCGAGGGGGTGGCTGGGCTGGCAGGACTGACCTCCTCCTTGAGGCTGCTGTTGCCCCACAGTGGCTTCCAAGCCAGGCACGTGTGTGAAGGTGTTGACCATCGAGCCCCCAGCCACTGACACCCGGCTGCGGGAGGACATGGCGCTGCTGGCTGACTGTGCCCTGCCCCCTGAGCTGCGCGTGAGTGTGGAGTAGTAGCTCTGATCCTTGGTTGACCCAGGCTCGGCCCCTCCCTTTAGTGAGGAATCTTAACGGTGTCCTGTCTCCTCCCCAGGGTGACCTCGGGGAGCTGCCCTTCCCCTGTCCCGATGGCTTCAATAGCTGCCCAGACATCTGCTTCCGTGTGGCCGGTTGCAGCTTTCTCTGCCACAAGGTGTCTGTCCCCTCCCCACTGCCCTGGACCCTGGGCTGGCTCCTTAGGGGCAGACCCTGGCCCTGGCACTTCCTCAATCTGGCTTCCCTCAGGCCTTCTTCTGTGGCCGCAGTGACTACTTCCGGGCCCTGCTGGATGACCACTTCCAAGAGAGTGAGGAACCTGAGGCCACGGGCGACCCTCCGGCTGTCACCCTGCATGGCATCTCACCCGAGGTCTTCACCCACGTGCTCTACTATGTATACAGTGACCACACCGAGGTGCGGGCTGGGAGGGATGTCAGGTGCACAGTCACACTGCGGGAGGAAGGGGAAGGGGGGAAGGGGATGATAGGGTGTGGGGTTTCCCTTTCCGAGAGCTGCTGGGATTGCACCACACCTTCCCGTATGTTGTGCATGGGATGGGGGGACCTGATGGTATCTGGCCTGAGGATGTCCCTGGCTGCTGGTGGACGGGGCAGTGGCTGTCCTTCACCCATGTCAGAGCTATGCCCTACCTTTGCTAGGGTCCCCTCCAGCTAGTTGTTATTTATTTATTTATTTTTAAAAATTTTGCTCGTTGTTACCTTAACAGCCTTCACTGGAGGCAGACACGAGTCTCTGGCCTCCCAGCCAGGGAAACTTGGGCACAGAGGAGCAAAGAGCTGCCCAGAGCCCCATGGCCAGCAGCAGATCTGAGCCCAGCCTGTGCCAACCTGCTTACCAGCCATGGGCTCCGCTGCCCTTTGGGTCCCTAGGATCCTGGTTGGTGCTAGACTTAGGAAACCTTCGCTGACCTCAGGGTACAACTCCCCGTTCTACCATAGCTGTCCCCCGAGGTGGCCTATGATGTACTGAGTGTGGCTGACATGTACCTGCTGCCTGGCCTAAAGCGGCTGTGCGGCCGCAGCCTGGCACAGCTCCTGGATGAGGACAGCGTGGTGGGTGTGTGGCGCATAGCCAAGCTGTTCTGCTTGGCACGGCTGGAAGACCAGTGCACCGAGTACATGGCCAAGGTCATCGAGAAGGTAGGCTGTTTCCAGTGCAGGGCTGGGGGACTGAGGGACTGCCGCGTGCTGAGCCCGCCTGTCCCCAGCTGGTAGAGCGTGAGGACTTCGCCGAGGCAGTGAGGGAGGAGGCGGCCGCCGTGGCAGCCCGGCAGGAGACAGACTCCATTCCACTGGTGGATGACATCCGCTTCCATGTGGCCAGCACCGTGCAGACCTACAGCGCTATCGAGGAGGCACAGCAGCGGCTGCGGGCCCTGGAGGACCTGCTCGTGTCCATCGGCCTGGACTGCTGAGCCCCCAGGGGTGCGCACCTGTGCACCTGTGCGTGCAGCTTTTCCTGCCCTCACACGTGTCCCAGGGTGGAGGGGTCTGCACCCTGCAGGGCCCTGGGGCCCCGGGGTGGGGGAGGTCTCCGTCCCACATGTGCCTGGGGACCCGGGATGGGGAGGTCTCCTTGGGATAAGCCTGTCCTGCAATGCCCAGGCTGGCCCAAACCCCAACCAAGCACAACTCAGGGAACCGGACGGGGATCCCCACTCACTCTGTGCCTGCCTCCTGCTTCCCGCCTCCTCTGTGGCCTAGGCCAGCTCAGCTCAGCGCCCTGGGTGTGACCAGCAGGAGGAGCGGTGCCTTCGTGTGGCAATAAACCTTGTGTTCACTGTGGACTGAGTCTATTGGGTGCAGCTTGGAGGTCAGAGACATGAAAGCCTTCAGTGGGTAGCCCTGGCTTTTGCACAGGTCCACCCCCTCAGGTGGTGAGCGGCAGTTAGGGCCCTAGCAGAGGTTGGCAGACCTGGACATCAGCCTTGCACCCCAGCCCGGCCTGATCCTCCTCCCTTTCTCCCACCCCACTGACCTACACTGGCTCCTAGGCCTGAGGCCTCCTTGGACTCTGCTCTGCCTTTATTTTTTCCACTATTGGGTGCTCAGCCTACATCCCAACCCTTTTTATTTTGTTGGCTAGATGTGGAGGTGCATGCCTATAATCCCACCATTTGGGAGGCTGAGGCAGGAGGATTGGCGCTGTTTGAGGCCTGCCTGGGATACATAGACCTTTCTTAAAAATTAAAAATGTCTTTGTAATTTTGCTGTTTCCCATGCTGGGCAGTCCTGCCTTAGCCTCCCAGAGTGCTGGATTACAGGCCTATGCCACCACACACAGGGTCCAGCATGTCCTTGGGCAGTGGCTCACTCCATACCATCACACAGCTCCCCACTTATCTCCAGCATCTCACAGGCCTCATGGCTGGTTTGGCTGGTGTAGGGGAGCTGCAGGCTCTGGGGTGACTGGCTGTGGAGAGGGTGATGTGTATGTGGCCAGGTGGGCAGGTGCCTATGACCTGTAGCAGCCAGTGACAGGTGAGAGGGGAGTGGGGTCTGGTTCCCATAGCTGTGCCTGTGCTGTGGGTGGGGTTGCAAGGGGCCTCACCTGAGATCTCATCCAGCAGCCCCCGCCTGTGACCTATGATATAGACCCATTCTGGTGGCCCTGGCAGACAAACCAGGCTAGCGACCTACAGTCCCCAGGTCCCAGCCTGGGCTGTGCTTACTTGTGTGTACCAAGTTAGGAAGGGAGATTTAAATGTTTTGGGGAAAACTGTTAACAGAACGGGCATTTCTCTCCATGGAGGAGGGCCGATGAACTGGGCGTCCGCTTGCCAGGCCCGTCTGTGTCCCAGCAGGCCGAGGACAGCACTAGGAAGGGACAGGGGCAAGCTTCGAGGTTAGCCCGGAGTTCCTGCTTCTGAGTACAAAAAAGTAGTGTGAAATAAATGAAAAATCATTGGTTTTTATTGGAAAAATATAGGTATTCTGACCCAACTCAAAGCACTTCTAGATTTTTCCTAGGTAGAAAACCTGAGTTGAATGAAGACAAAGGAGGAAGGTGAAAAGGGCACTGAGCCCGTGCCGCAGCGGTCATGTGCGGGCAGCAGGCTGCGCTGCCCGGTCCAGGACTCCGCCTTATTTGAAAGGTTGGTAAAGCCTAGTGTGTGGCCATGCCTGACACGGGAGGCTCATCGCACATTCAGAACCAGCCTGGGATATACAGGGTTCAAGGCCTGCCTGAAGGACAGCAAGGCCCTGTCCCATAACAAAGCAAAACAAAACAAAACTTCACGAAGGAGAATTTAAGAAAAGGAATTTACTTTTTCACCCATACTATAATAGAGTTCTTGTCAAAGGAAAAGAAAAGGTCACATGGTTTCTGCATTTGCTTCCCTCTGCCTGGAAAACTCATCTATAAAACCTTCAGTGCGCCCTCATGAAGCAGGGCAAGGACTATAGCTGCTGGCATGACAGGCAGCAACCGGGAGGGCGAGGCCAGGTACTCTGGCGGGAACAGGGACAGAAAGTTTTCACTAGGGAAAACTGGGACTAACCCAGACACCTCTATTGTGAGCCTGTGGACCAAAGCCAAGTTCTGGGTGGTGTCCGACTCAGGTCACCTGGAAGGATCCCCTCCTGGCTTCAGCACTTAGGGGCCAGGCCTCCCGCCCTCCAGCCCTGAGGCTGATGAATGCTTAGGTACAAGGTAAGAGTGATTCACATGTAGACTTTTGCTGGTGTCTTGACTCTTGCTGCTGTCACCAGAGCTCCTAAACTCCTGGGCTCAAGTGAGCCTCCTGTTCTGTTCCAGCCTCCCAAGTGTGGGGATCCCCCACGAAGGTGCTGCCACACTCAGCTAGAGGAGCTTTTCTCCTCCCTCTCCACCTGCTCCCCCCCCCCCCCCCCGTGCTGGAGCCCAGGGTCTCTCACATTCTGGGCCAGCGCTCACTAGTGAGCCATGTTCCAGCCCTTGGACTGCATTTTAACCATATTTTGTGTCATCGACATGAAGCTTTTATGACACTGGTGGAGACTCATGTGTTCAGGCCTCTGGTTTTGTCCCAGGGATGGGCAGCTGCTGTCTCTGTCCTCCTGCTGCCCATTGGTCAGGGGATAGGGAATTCTGCAGGAAGCTGTCCATCCTCAGGCCATGCTGGCCCTCCCAGCCTGTTCCCTCTAACAGGAGCAAGGCCACCTGCCTCCCATGCTGGAGCAGCAGGAGGCTCCTGGGCTCCGCCCACACTGCCTAGTCCTCCTCAGACTCAGGTGTAGCCATCACCAATTCTTCGGCTTCCTCTTGTGGCCACGGTGTGCCCGCCGCCACATGCTGTCATAGCCGGGCCTCATGTTTTCTCCCAGCCACGAAGCCTAGCTCCTCCAGGAAGCTTACTGTGCTCAGGGTGACTGGCACACTGCACCCCTGCCCTGGGGCGCCTGCACTCCCTGATAGCTGAATGCTGCCCCTTGTTTTTCAGCTGGCTCAGGCTCCTTTCCCAGCACCCCCTTGGCTGTGTCCCTGCCTGTCCGCTGTAGATATGAGCAGAAATACTGGATGCAAAGTCTGAGTTCTGCTGTACCCTTTCAAGGATGCATGACTCTCTCCTTTTCTCCCCTTTCTGTCCGCTGGAATGAGGGTGAAGTAGGTGGAGCTGGAGCAGCCATGTTGGACTATAATAGGCTGAGGCCAATGGCTCCAGATCCCAGGGCAATGGAACAAGAGGGTGTCTAGGAAAGTGAATAGGGAAGCGGAGAGGCATTGGTCAAGGCTGCGTCCCCTACCTAGCGCCACAGTTCTGTCAGATCCCCGTCCACAGTGACAGCTCTCAGTGTGGTGCTGGCCCTCCCGTGATGACACCTGGTCATATGTCGCTGGGGGCCTGTTTCCTGCCCCTCCTAGCCACTGGCTGTAAGAGCTTGTGCTGTCTGGGCCTGGACACCAATCCTCTCCAAGCTGGGTGCCCAGAGGACTAATCAGGCAGAAATGTGCAGAAAGGATCGGCACTGGCTGACTGCCTTTGTGCAGTTCTGGGCAGTCTAGGGGGCATAGAAGTGACACAGGCCTGCTGCCTCGGGAGGCCCTCACCTGGATTCCAGCCCCCAGAAGGACCCCAACATATCCACAGGGCCCAGGAACATGGCTCACAGCTGCAGAGCCCAGCATGGCCCTTCCGGGTGGGGGTCTGGGCAGTGGTACAAGCTGCATGCCCTGAAACGACCCAGCTGCAGGGACAGCCCACTCCCACCCCCGCCACCCATTTGTTCCCTCTCCTCCCTCCCTCATTCACTGCTCTTCCCTCCCAGCCCCATCACACATGGGGTCAGGCTGTGTTCCCTGGCAGGAAGTGCATCCCCATGTGGACAGGCAGAGTCCGGACAGTGTGGAAGGAACCAGGATCTGTCCAGTCTGCACCAGGACAGTTCATATCAGCCTGGGACGGTCTGGGCAGGGGTTGGCAAACCCTGGAAGAAAGGCCTGTGGTTCTGTCTCCAGGAGACCTATGGTGGCAGACAGACAGAGCCAGCACACTGAAAACACCTGGTTTATTAGGATTAGCTGTGGCATACATTGACTCCTTTAATATTCTAAAGTGATACACGCATTTCCCACAGACAGTATACGTGCCAAGCCGTGGTGATAAGAAGATTGGTGAATTGCTTGGAAAATCTGTGTGATCCTAGTTTTTGTTAGCAATGGGCAAGAGAAAGAAAAGGTGCATGAGCTGGATGGCTGCGGGATACCCTGGGGCCTGTGGTGCCAAGGCCTGGGCCTGTAAGAGGCCTGTTTTCTAAAAAGATTGTCAGTCCATTTCCAAAGAGGACACACATGGCCTCTGCGCTGCACACAGGGAGCAGTGTCCACATTGGCTTGAGGGTCCAGAGTCCAGCCAGGGCCCTAACGCCTCTCCCAAGTCCTCCCCTCACTCTCTGTGATGGTCTGCCTTGGCTGGGCTGAATGTCATGGTCATCCAGCTTCCCAAAGACAAAGATGGGATGCTGAGCTCTGGGGGCTCAGTGGAAGACGTGAGGTGGTGCCCAAGTCAACTGTGGATATGGCACGTCCTTCTCCCCTGGCCCCTCTTCAAGATTTTGCAAGACAGCCCCAATTTCACAACCCTGCCTCTTGAGCGATTCTGCAGCCAGTCACGTAAGAGCTGACCACATGTGTCAGGACCACATAACAACTCCATGCATCTTAGAGGACCGTGGTCAAGTTACATGGCCGTGTCCCTTGGGAGGGACACTGCCATCACACACCTCTGGGAGAGGCCACAGTGCCCAGGCCTGGGGACACGGAGTTCTGGGTGAGTCACTGACGGGAGCCCAGGGCGTGGTAGACTACAGACAGCAGAAACTGTCACTAGGCTGCCCATGGCAGGGGCTCACGAAACAGGCGACCCTCCTAGGGCAGGGACATCCATGGCCTGGGCAGCTGACTGTCACTGTCTGCAGCAGGGTGGTCTGCTCTGGACCCCAGGGATGGGGACGAGCCCTGTGAGTCCTGGCAGCCTCGCAGGGGACTCCTGAGGCGAGAGCACCCAGGGCAGGTGGGCCGGGTCTCCTCTTATTGCTGGCACTAAGTGAGGCCAGGACAGGGCCAGGCTGGGGTTGGCACCTGAGAGGGCAGCTGGGTTCAGGTCTTGTCCTGGAAGGGTGGCTCGCTGTTTTCTTCCCTGACTGGGTGGCCGGTTCCCTCCTGCTGCCACCAGAGGTAGCTGTGGAGCCAGCACTGTGACTCCAGGTGGCACCGGCCGCCCAAGGGAAGGGAAGGCTAGGCAGACCAGGGTCCTCTACCCTCCCTCGGGTGCAGCTTAGCTCCAGGGCTCTCCCAGCCATCCTGGCCACTGCCTGAGGAGCACCCAGTACCTGGTGGGTACACTCACAAATGTCAGGCCCCCCCACTTCCCTCTCATCTCACAGCACCAGAAAGCAACAGCCTGGCCAAGGTCGCCTGTGGGACAGGCCCAGTCCCGGGGTGGAGGGAAAGGTCCTGCCCAGCCCTTGCCTACAGGCAAGTGCCTCCTGCTGCCTTGGCCAGGCCACACTGGGGCTGACGGGATCATAGGCAACCTCGGTGGGGACATAGGCCACCTCATCATCTGCCAGAGCAAAGGCCACAGGGCTACAGCTGGTCAAAGTGGGCACTGGGGCAGAGTTCGGTGGGGGCAGGCAGGGGTGCCTCCAATTATTGCAGGCCGGCATCCCAGGCACAGGGTCTGAGGCACCTGTGTGGCTGGGAGAAGTTGGCTGAGGCTGTGTGTGTACTTTAAAGGACATTGCACCACGGTCCCTCCTTGGAGAACATTCAGTCTCTCAATCAATCAATCAATCTCTCTTTCTCTCTCTCTCTCTCCTGCATAAAGTGTCGAAGTGTTCACCCCTTAGGGTAGATCCAGTGGCTGCTAGCATTATATGACAAAAACGTCTCTTTTTTGTTTAAAGTAGATTGTGTTAGGGATTCCTCTGGTCCTGTTTGGCTCTGCCCTCCTCTGCCGCCTCCCCCAGGCCCCTGGCTCAGGGCGGACACCTGCCTCCTGTCCTTTGAGAGAACCACATGTGTATCTCATGGAAGACGGAGTTGGTCACCTCGGGCAGCTCCCTGTGAAGTATATGGTAGGCGCCTTCGTAAATCTGCAATTGGGAGAGACACAGAGTCAGGGCTGTCAGGAGTTGTGGAGGACTCAGACAAGGGATGGGAGTGTGTGCACACCCAGTCCCTCTCCCTGTGGCCTGAACATTCGGTATTCACTTCCCGTCACTACGGGGCCCACAATGCCCTTGTGTTTTCAGTGGGGCCTCCTTATGTTGTCCAGGCTGATCTATTTTTTTTTTTTTTTTTTGTCTTTTTCCTTTTTATCGGTACCGGGGATCGAACTCACGACTGCTTGCTTGCAAGGCAGGTGTTTATGCCGCTGAGCTAAATCCCCAGCCCCATCCAGGCTGATCTTGAACTCTTAAGACTCAAGAGATCCTCCTGCCTCAGCATCCTGAGCAACTGTGACTACAGATGTGCTCTAATGTGCCCAGCTGAGGTTAACACATCTTAAGCCACCTTTCACTCTCCCTCAGACCCAAGCAGTTGTCTGTGACCTACCCATGCCAGGCCAGGGACCCTTGGTGCCCGCATGCTATTTGACTTCTCGCCTTCCAGTAAGATCATGGCTTTATCCTCACCTGGTTTCTGTCCCTCCTAGAAGTGACTCCTGCCACCCTGGTGACCTTGCAGACAGGCTGGTGGGCTGCTCTTCAGGTGTCCCTAGCAACCTCCTCCAGCCCTGGGCCTTGAAGCCCTGCCAGTTTGGGTGACCTGGGCCTCCACGTCCAGCCTGAGCTCTCTGCACACTCACTGCTCACTGGCCGTTTGCATTAGTTTCTCAGAGTGGAGCCCTTGCTCATCTTGAGCTCTGTCGCAGCCAGGGTCCCAGCTCAGAACAGGGGAACATGGGTGGCTCCTCCAAAGCCAGACTCCAGGGCTCTCTTTCAGAGCTCTTTCTGTGATGCTGACAAGGGAATCCAGGGCCACGTGCAGGTGGGGCAAGATACAGCCCCTATTTTTAAATGAGCACACAGGTAACTTCAAAGATCTATTATTTCTTTGTATTAAGAAAACTCAAAATTCCCTCTTCTGGCTCTATGGAAATATATACGACACAGTTCCTTGCAGCCCCCTGTGTAGGGGACACTGGAACTCACTGCTTCTGCCAACAGGACTTTGCACCTGAGGTTCAGGGTCCCCTCAGCCTTCTCCCGCCTGTTGTCAGGCCCCCGAAACACTCTACTGCCTCAAGAACAGTTTTCTAGCCTTGGAGATGCAGTGTGACACTTCCATTTAGATATCCCCAAAAGCCTTCTGCACTCAGAGCCGGACCTTCAGAAGGCGGCTGTGTTTCGGGGCTCGCAGCTGCCTTGCTGTTAGAAGGTGGGGTCTGGTGGGAAGAGATGGCGCTGGGCGGGGTCTGGGAGGGCTCCTCCCTTTACTCCTTTTCCTCCCACCATGTGGTGAGAGCTGTCCTCCGCCACACCAACCGCCTTGGGGCCATGAAGAGAAAGTGCATCAAGATAAACTTCTCCTTGAATTTGCAGAACTCAGCACTGTTGCAGTGACCTGAAAAGTGACTATGACATACAGTATCTGTTGTTCTGGGCCTGCCCAGTGTCACTCAATATGATGCCCCCTCAGGGGGCTCCTGCATGTAGCTGAAAATATTTGTTCCTATGGCGGAGTAGGATCCTGCTGTACATGGGTGTTTCCTTTACTCGGTCACCTGCTAGTGGACACTGGGCCAATTTCATTGCTTCGTCATTGTGAATGGTGCACTCAGGAGTGTGATGGCTGGGTCACAGGGCAGTTCAGGTGGTGGTGGTGGCGGCATGTGTGTGCATGTGGTGCTGGGGCAGAAACAGTGCATTGTCTCCTCTAGGTATAAGCTACCACGCTGGGCCTAGCCCCCGCTTCCTGTGTCACCCTAGGCCAAATCCTTCCTCTCAGCCCTGATAAAAGGCACCCTTTCCCCCTGGGTCTCACTGCCTGCACTCCTGTCCCCATCCCCTTCTCCAGCCAGCACTCGTCACTTGCTGCTCAGACCCAGAGAGGAAGTCGACTTCTTTCAGGGTCTCCCTGGGTGCCCAGTGCCCTGCTGCCCTGAGCTGCCATGGCTGCTGCAGAGGGTGCCTGGCACCCGGGCATCCTTGGGCTCAGATGTGACTGTCACATCTGAGGTTCATTTGCCCAGTGCCTGGGCTGCAGTCCTTTCCTGCCCATGCCATCTTCTGATGTTCTGTTCTTTCCCTGTGGCTGATGCTTGTGAACTGACAGCTGAGGGCAGATGAGCTCAGTGCCTTAACAGACCTTTGTGTCTGTCTCCCACTCGTGCCATGCTGGTCCTTGCAGGGACCCTGCAGGCCGGGAGAGGTGTCCAGGGATGCCCATGAGGGTAGCTGCTCACCTTGAGGGTCTTGTCCTGGCTCTTGGCCCCATCCATGAGCAGGTAGGCCCCTTTGCTGTCACACAGGTGGTCTTCTGAGCCCTGAAGCAGCAGGAAGGGCAGGGTCAACTTGTGCATCCCACGTTCCACTCGTGACACAGCGTTCAGCAGCTGGATGCCAAAGGACACTCTCAGCCCTCCATGGTGGACGAGCGGGTCCGAGTTGTAACTCTCAACCTGGTATAGAAAGGGGATTATGTTAGTGCACAGTGGGGTTCCCTTTGCTAGACCCAGACTTGGTTTCTGGGACCATTTTTTTTTTTTTTTTTGTATTTTCACCGGTACCAGGGATCAAACTCATGACCACACACTTGCAAGGCAGGCGCTTATGCCGCTGAGCTAAATCCCCAGCCCCCCATTTTTTTTTTTGTTTTTCTTGAAACAGGGTTTTGCTATGTAGTCCAGGCTGGCCTCAAACTCACAGAAATCTTTGTACCTCAACCTCTCCAGTGCTTGGGTTACACATGTGTGCCACCACACCCAGCTTTCCCTCAGGATTGAGTCCCTTCAAGTCCTCTGGGTCTGGCACAGGACTTCCATGGGCCAGCAGCCTACTCAGCCTTCCTATGAGCTAGGTCTGACCTGTTGGCCCCACCAGGCTGATTCCAGGATCCCCAGGGCATCAAACCCAAGGATGCCGAAGCCCCTCATGTAGCCCTTTGTGTTTGCATGAGTACGTACATCTGTCCATTTAATTTAGAAATTTTCCACACAGTGTATCATGCCCAGTGAACGTGATACAGATGTATTGTTCAGGGAAAATGGCAAGTGAAAGTCAGGTCAAATTCTTGGATGTGAAACATAAGGGCCTTATGTAAGGCTGTCTGTCTGCACACAGGCCTGTGGAAAGTTGGAGTGTTAATTTATGTGTTTAAAATCTTAGCAGCATCATACTGTTCACTTTGGTGATTTCACTGTAAAGTAGCTCTGAAGGATTTCTTTTTTCTTTTTATTCTTTGAAATACTGGGGATTCAAGTCAGGGCTTTCACATTCACCTACATCCTTCATTCTATTTTTATTTTGAGATGGGGTTTTGCTTAGTTGCTAAGGTGCCCAAGTGTGATTCAAATTTGTAATCTTCCTGCCTCAGCTTCCCAGAGTGCTGGTCTGAAGGTGTTTTGGTATTTCATTTTGTTTTCTGTTTGTCCCCCTCCATCCTGAGTTGGTGTCTGCCTGGTAGAAGTGGGCAAGGGCATACAATAAGCACAAGGGCACTGGGCCAGGAAAAGAAGTCCCTAAGGCCTGCTTGTTCCGTGGCTTCAGGATAAAGGAAGCTCAAGGACAGGTCTGGGCCTCAGACGGTAGGGGCCTCCTGACTCTGCCAGGGAGGCCAGCTGCTCCAGGTATGCCTAGGCCATCTCTCCTCCTCCACAGGATGTGTCTAGGCAGCATCCTCTCTCCTCGGGCACCAGCCTACTTCTCACTCATCGATGCTGGAGAAGGCCCTTTCCTCAGAGCCACGCTGGGACCTTGATCCCATGCCCCCTGGCCTCTCTGGGTTTCTGGCTTCACTTGGCAGCCATATGGACAGCTCAGTATCATTGTTCAACCCGTGGCCTGAGGCAGCCTATCTGCCCCACAGGAACTGAGGGAGAGGTCTCTAGAAATTTCCCAGGCTACTTCAGAGAAAGGTATGAGGCTATACCACCCTCTGCTTCCTCTCTCACCCTCGCTAATGGATTTGGGGCAGCTTGGAGACCTGGAATGGGGTGTGGTTTGGGGACAGATTGAAGTGCAAGGTCCCTGGGCTCATCTTAGTGTTCCCAAAATTGTGGGCCACAGTCCCTTTGCTCCCACTACCACTGGGCCCAGGCCAGAGCTCCCAACTTATGCTGAGAGGGGATAGGTTATCCTGAGGCCACCCTGCCATCCTGGACTCTGTCCCAATGCTGGAGGCTGAGCACCACAGAGCAGACCATTTGTGAAGCCACATGAGACGAATTAGCCACTTCCTGCAGCTGAGCTGGCAGCAGGCCACAGGGCCAGGCCATCTGCTCACAGGCTAAGGGGACACATGACCAGCAAGCAGTATAGGGACAGAGTGGGGACAGTCACCCAGGGCCAGCTCCCCTTCAGGGTGGATAACTGTGGCTCACAGGACAGTTGGCAATGACAGCAATGGTGGGGACAGTACTGTGTGCCAGCACTACAGCCTGTGCCCAGCAGGGCGCCAGGGCATTCTGTCCAGGCTCTTCTTAAGTAGTAAAAATACAAACAGTAAACATGTAAGCTCTGGCTACATATACTGTACCATTTATTTGCCTGGTAATTCATTTAACTCTTACAACCACCTCAAGAGAGGCACTGTAGATGAGAAAACTAAGAATCAGAGAGGCTTGACAATTTGTTTGCTAATAGTCACCCCAATTCCTGTTCTCCTCTATAGAACCCTGGATAGTTAGTTAGGTACATAATTTCTCAGACTAAAGACTACATTTCCCAGCCTCCCTTGCAGTTATGTATGGTCATGTGACTATGTTCTGGTCAATAGGAGGTGAGCAGAAGAGCTAGGCATATACTTTCTGCTGGCCAGGGAGCCCTTCCCTTGCAGAGGCCTGAAGGAGACTGGGATAGACACAGCATGTAGGGGTGGAGTTGGTCAGGGGACACATGAGTCCCACAGAGCTTGTGAGAGAGGGTTGGGCCAAGTGGAAAGGGTCATACCTGGAAGTACTGAGCCACAAGACTGTCCCAGCACTGACAAGTCACCAGCCAAAGAACTGAGCCCTCTCCTGTGTAAGGTGCTGCTGTCTGGAATCTGGGATTCAATAGGCTTGTGTGTCCCTTGGCCAACTCCACCTGCACATTCTGTCTACACCCGGCCTCCTCTGGGCCTCTGAGAGGGCAGGGCTCCGGGCCTGCTGTGATGTGTCTTTTGACCACCCCTCCCTGAAGAGGGCCTAACACTTTGCTCTGCTGACCCTGACTACCAGGCCCCTTGAGGGCATCTGCTCCCAGTCACACTGCTCCGCCGCCCCAGTGGGTTCCTGTTCCATCCCTGGCTTCCTCTTCCATAGCTTGAGCACATAACGATCTGTTTGCACAATGACCAATTCCGGGCCAGGGGAAGGAGCTGCCAGATGTGTCGGGGAAGGGGCAGGCACTGATGTGAACCACAGCCACAGCCAGAGTGGGGCCTGAGGGAAACAGAAAATGGGGGTGGAGAGCTGGCGCCGAGAGCCTGAACCCTGTCCTCCAACCCAATCACAGCCACTTTTGGACTTTTAGGGTTTAGGGTGGAAAACTCCAGGAGTCCTAGGAATGTGTTCTGTTCTGTTTCCCAGAAAGGAGGTGGCCAGGTGCCCTTCACCCCCACCAGGTGACACACCAGCAAAACGAGTCACAAGCAAGAGCAGGAAGTCATTTCCAAGGTTAATTACAGTCTCATTCCATTTACAGCCATCACCACTCCCCCCCCCCACACCTTTTCACAGTGCTGGGGATGAAGTCCAAGGCCTTGTGCACACTGGGCAGGCTGTCTACCATGAGCCACACCTCCAGTCCTTTTTAAAATTCTGAGACAGGGTCTCACTAAGTTGCCTAGGCTGGCTTTGAACTCATGATCCTCCTGCCTCAACCTCCCAAGCAGCTGGGATTATAGGCATGTGTCATCACAGCCAGATCTTTTACTTTTTTCCTGCAGAGGTAGGGATGGAATCCAAGGCCTCACATGTGCTAAGTAAGGGGCCCTCCACTGAGCTGCAATCCCAGATTCCTGTGTGACTAATCTTTGAAATCACAAAATAAAGAAGATTTGTGGCTGTCATGGATAAGGGGGAGAGTGCAAGAGAGAAGTGGAAGAGGTTGTAAAAGGGCAAAGTGGGGAGTCTTGCAGGGGATATAAATGCTCTATGACCCGACTGTATCAAGGTCAGTATCCTGGATGGAATATCGCCCCATAATTTTGCAAGATGTTCCTCTGGGAGGGAAACTGATTAATGGGGAGTTGGGATCTCTCTACTATTTCTTTTTCATTGTTGAGACAGGGTTGTGCTATATATCCCAGGCTGGCCTGGAACTTGCAGCGATTCTCCTGCCTCAGCCTCCCAAGTGCTGGGATGACCCATGCATGGTACCACTGCTTGTGGATTACAATGATCTCAAACGAAGAGTTTAATTTTTTAAAAAAAACTCACAAGCCCCCGGTATTTGGCATATCTCTGGCACCCTTATGCCTCTTGTTTCAGCTGTGGCCAGGGACTCACCCACTTGAGGCAGGAGCCCAGTTATGGCCCAGGGACCCCATGGTCCCAGCTCCAGATGACTATGGTGCTGGCTGAGCTCAGCAGCGATGGTTCTTGGGGATGAAGTCCTCACCATTTCTGGGGCTCCATGTCCTCGGGCAGGTGTCCCCAGCCCCTTGTCCTGCTGATGGTAGAAGGTGCCCAGCCTGACCTTCCTGACCCAGACAAGAATGCCCGGAACTGAGAATGGCACTTTCGTCATCTTCTCTGGATCACTGCGGTCTCGTTATGAGTCTCAGGGTCCCTCAGCTCAGCTCACACTCCTGAGTGTGAGGTGTGAACACCTTTTCTCCAAAATGACCATGTGCCAGCACAGGGTGGCCTCTGCGTGCCCTGTGAGCCTGAGGCAGGTGTGGCTCCAGGTCAGGGACTACCAGGGAAATCCACATGGGAAGTGTGAGGAGATCCAGAAAGTGGCTGCCATGACTGCTGTCAGAGGTCACAAAGGCCGTGACACTTGTGCACTCATGGCAGAAATTGAAAATGCTGCCACCCCTATGGAAAACATACCGAGCTTCCTTAAAATTTAACTCAGGGCCAGATGCAGTGGCGAACACCTGTGATCTCAGCTACTGGGGAGGAAGAGGCAGGAGAAGCTTGAGTTCAAGGTCACTCCGGGCTACTTAGTGAGACCCTGGCTCAAAATAAAAACTAAAAAAGGCTGTGGTGCAGTCAGTGGTGAGCGTCTGTCTAGCACGGGACAGGCCCTGGATTTCACCTTTCATCACCAAAGCATGGGCACAGCATCACCTGATCCAGAGAGCTCACTTCAGGGAACACAGCTGGAGGAGCAGGTCTCACAGAGACGTCTGCACACTGTTCAGAGCAGCACTTTTCTTGCTGGCTGGACGTCTCCCCAGAGGACTCCACCAGGCAGTGTGACATCTTTTCTGTTTTCCCTGGGCACAGGCCCTGTCTTGGAGATGTTCCAAGCCCAGCTGGGAGGAGCCATGCTGGCCTGCACAGGTTTAGAGAGCCCCCAACTTTTATAGCTCAGACTGGCCTCAAATTCAGTGATCCTCCTGTCTCAGCCTCCCAAGTGCTAGGATTACAGGTGTGTACCGCCACACCTAGCTCCTTGAGGGTCTTTTAGAGCATTAGTTAGTTTTTGGTTCCTCAACTAGACCACTCTTCTGAGGAAACAGAGACACTCAATGGAGTCAGATAGAACTGCCCTTCTCAGAGCTTCCAAGAAGCTGATCAGAGCTCAAGGGGCTCCTATAGAGACGGGATGCTGGGGACAGACAGAGTGACTCAGCCTATCATCAGCTGCAGCTGCAACTAGCTGAAGGCCTGGATGTGTCTGAGCATGCCAAGCCCTGGCAAGGGTCTTCCCAGGGCTCCCAGCCATGTGCATGGCACCATGCAGGGGACAGGATGGCGTGGGCCCTAATCCCTAGCACTGGCCATGCTGAGAAACGTGACAGAAGCCAAGCTGGCTGCTCCATCTGGGCCTCCTACTGGAGTTCAGACCTAGTACCTGGTGCTCACAGAAAACAGTGTCACCTGGAATCAGCAATGTGCCACACATGCATGCTCAAAGCCGTGAGTTTCACTGTCCCTGTGGCTCAGGGGTAGCAAATGCTCACCCAGTAGGTGAAAAGGGGCCTCAGGTTCCATCTGTGCAGTACAAAAAATCAGCCATGTGTGATGGCACACACCTGTAAACCCAGCACACTGGAGGCTGAGGCAGGAGGATTGCTGTGAGTTTGAAGCCAGCCTGGGCTACATAACAAGACCCAGTCTCAAAAAAAAAAAAAAAAAAAAAAAAAAAAACAAACAAAAAACAAAACAAAACACAGCCTTCTCCCTCCACCTTCTGCCCCAGGCTCCGAGGAAAGCAGTGCTCCTGTTGCCAGTGGTGCAAGGGCTCCAGGAGATGCTCAGGCATCTCTCCTCCCTGCTCTTAGGCAGCACCTGTGGCCTGAGAGATAACTCAAATGGCATTTAGGGCTTTCTGGCACGGAAGGGAGGCACTGCAACCCACAACGCCGCTGCTGGGGTGGGTGCATAGTGGAAGTGTCTGTCACCTGGCATTCTGAGCAGGGACCCTAGACGGTGGCCAAGTCTAATAAATGTCAGAGCGGCAGCATCTTTGTTCCCAGGCTGCCACTGCCAAGAGCATTTGGACCGAACACAAAGAGCCTGGGCTCAGATCTGCCCAGAGCGCTGTGTGTCCTGTAGTCAGTGACTTGCCCTCTCAGGGCCCGAGCTCCCACAACTGCAAATGCCAGCAGCAAGCCTGACTGCCAGGGTTACAGTGAGATGGATGGGCCACAGGTCTCTCCAGAAGGACGTGCAACCACAGGCACTGGGCAGGAGGAAGGTTTTCTGCTGTCTTCTTGGAGGTGGCTCTGCAGACAGAAGGTGGTTATGCGGGGTGGCAGCTGAGGTGACGCTGACAGTCTGAGGTGGCTGTGAGGACGCCTGCCACAGCAAACCCCGTCAAACACCACTGCAGACACAAGGCTCAGAGCCGCCTGCCCCAGACAGACTCCCTGACTCACTGACCTCCCCACCTGCTCTGGCCAGTTCCTCAGGCACCACTGCTCGGCCCCTCTAGCACTCAGAGCTGCAAGGATCCCTGGGAAATAGCAGCTAAAGCTGAACCTTACAACACCTGACATGAGGTGGCAGGAAGGGCCTGTGGTGAACACATTTTCCCCTTTATGTTGCTATTTTTAAAGTCCAGCACAAAGTTCAAAGGACCCTTACACAAGGGGCTAATTCCCTGGGCGGTGACAGAAGAATGTAAATGCTTGCCTTATGTAGGCCAGACTTGCCTAGAACTCAAGGTGGTCCTCCTGCCTCAGCCTCTCAAGTGTGGAATTATAGGAGTATATCACTACATCCAGCTCATTTTCCCAGTAGTCTTCAGACCCCCCCCTCCCCTTGGCTCCTCCTCAGAGGGCCAGACCTTGGGGTTTGTCGCTATGACCAGATGGTCATGGGCACAGAACAGCAGGTGGCCAGTGGGAGGAGAGAGGCACACAGCCATCTTAGGAGCACTATCTCTCTGAGGGGCACAAACCCTTTAAGGCACCGCCCATTATTCCAAAGACAATGCAAAGAAGGAAGCCTGGTATCGGCTCTTTGCCACAGTGAGGGCCTGGAACTGCTCTGCATCCCCTATCCTGTCCTCCCTGGCCAGGGCTTCTGGCTGGGAAGATCAACAGCTCAGCGTACTCAAACGCTGTACCCGAGATTTCTCAGGGAGTCTGCACCCTCTCGCTCTCTGCCGCTGCCTCTCTTTAAACCCATGGTCACCCTGATGCAGCTGTGAGCCAGGGTTGGGGACAGAGCAGGGGAAGGAGGCCCTGTTTCCCAACAAGTCCCCATCATGTTTCCTGCACGGCACGTGGGCCTGCACAGCCGGCTGGGGGACTGGGGTTGCACACAGGAGAGGAGCTCGGGGTGGGACCAGCACTTTGACCGCCACACACACTTGCATGGCAAACTGAGGCCTCTGACTGCTGTGCAATATGGAGAGGTTGTTTAACCTTCCTGATCCTACCTTTCTTGTCTGGGAAACGGGTGCCCAAGGATTCTGACATCAGCATGGGCTCTGGTCTTTCTTTAGCTCCCAAGTTGTGCAGATCCCCTCCAAAGACTGGATTTTCCACATTGCACTTTCTTTACCCTGTACTCATTTGGAAAAACCAGGCAGCTTTCAAATGGCTGCAGCTATTCCCTCCTGGACACACAGCCAGGCCTGGTACCAGCTTTGCAGAATCAGCGTGAGAGGCTTGCTGCACACGGATTGTGTGGGCAAATGCACCGGCAGCCTCTTCGTTCCCACTTAGCAAAAGCCTGGGGATGGACTTCATTTTTTCCGGTACTGAACTACATCCCCAGCCCTTTTCCATTGTTAAATTTTGAGACAGGATCTTGTTAAGGTGCTAAGTTGCCTAGGCTTGGCTGGAACTCGTGACTGTCCTGCCTGTCTTCCACAGTCTAGGGTCACAGGCATACACCACCATATTCACCCAACAGAACTTTGGGTCTCTGGATGCAGTCTTTGGTTCCATTTACCTATAAATCCTTCTGTTGCTTAAAGGGCTTTGGCTCAGTTTTCATCACTTGTGCCGGGAAAGGCCTCACTACACACGGCTTCTTCCAGTTCTCTGCATGTTTTGGTCACAACTCTCATTGCCAGCTACTTTGCACCTGCCCCGAAGCCATGACACAGCCTCTGGCTTCTGTGCATCCCCTCACCAGGGGCTGCCTGGCTCTAGTGGGACACTCACCTCCTCCTTGTTCCGAGAGAGAATATTGGGGTCGATCGCTCCCAGGGACAGGTTGGGTAAGACCAGGTTGAGCACTTTCGCGGCAAAGACCTAGGCAGAAAGCAGGAGAAAGAGGTGAGCTGGGACCTGCGTGGGTTCGTCCCAAGTCTGCAGACAGTGACAGGTGGACCCCTAGCTGTCCTGCAGTGAGGCCGCTTTCCCCACTGAACAATCCTGACTCAGTCAACCTCAGCCCCTCTCTCTGGGCTCACTCCATGTCGGGGAGTGGGGGAGGTGGCCTCTACAGTGAGGCAAGGATGTCTTGTCTATTTTTTGTTTCTTTTTTCGGAGACAGGGTTTTGCTATGTAGCCCAGGCTGGCCTTGAACTCATGGCTACCCTCCTGCCTTAACCTGCCTAGTGCTGTGATTATAGGCATGTACCACTGCACATAGCTGTGTCCTGTCTATTTGGCCTGCGATGGATTCCACGTGGCTACTCTCCCTGCAATCCCTCCTCGGTTGTGTGAATCTGAACAGTTCTGTGTGTGTACACAGCCATTTCTCTAGGGTCCTAAAAACAGACAGCAGGAAAGAATCATTTGGATCATGGGTGGTGATCGAGGAATTGGGAAACTAGGGTCAGAGAGAATCCTAATTAGGAGCCTGAGGGGCAGAGGGAGGCGACCTGACTGGGTTGCATTTGTGGCCCAGTGGCGTCGTGAAGGGAGGCAGGCCCTTAGCATCACAGCTGCTCTGCTTCCTCAGCTGTCAGGGGACTTCCTGAGTGTGAAAGTCTGCACACAGTGGGTGCTCGTGCACGCTGGCTAGGCTGACGGTCAGGTTAGGCCTTGGTTTCTGTCTCCAGAACCACACATAACACTCATTGGCTGTGAACCTGATTCAGCCCCTTCCTATCCCGGTTCTGTGATCCCAGGAAAACAGATCAGATGTCACAGCCCCTCAGAGAGGGGCTGCCTGCCCTTCTGAGGTGCAGAGCCTTGGAGACGGAGGATGCTATTTCTAAAGTAAGCTATGAGATGCTGGAATTAGCACTGCACAGCGGGCTCCATGTGAAGGCTCACAGCATGAGGACCTCAGAGCAGGGCAGAAGCCTTCTCTGTTTGGTGCCTGGGCTTCTGATCTTTACAAAAATTCTGTGAGGCTTAGCTTTGTCCCCATTTAACCATGAGGAACTGGAGGCCTGACTCTCTGCATGCTCAGAAGGGAGCTGCAGGCTGGTTGAGCCCGGCTGTTCCCTGAATGGTGCATCTGCCTCCCTCTGAGTGTGTCATTTGTGTCCCACTGTCTCTCAATCTTCTCTGCCGCTGTGTGTCCATGAGAGCTCTGATCTTTCCTCAGGGTGGGTGCAGGGTGCTGACACTAGGGTGGTACACACCTTGTTCCCTTCTGGAACAAGGACAGCGCCCCTGCCTTTGCAGGGACAAAGTCGAGGTTGCTGCACCAAACCTGGTATCCAGCCAAGCAAACCCCTTCCTGCTAGGGCCTGAGGTAGCTTCCTGGAGAGCCCTCTGGAGGGACACAGCACACCAGGTATACACAGTTCACGATGCCAGGGCCAGCCCTATGCCAGGGCCAGCTCCATGCCCAGACCAGGAAAGGAGGCTCATCACTTGGGCAGAACACGAAGTCTGGGAAATTCTGAAAGCTGGATGAGATTATCTGTGAACGCCAGGAACTGATGCTCCTCTGGGAACCTAAGCTCTGTAGTTGGGATCCATGCCTTCCAAAGTTGAAAAAGAATCTAAAAATCAAGAAAAATGTCACTAGACTGTGTGTATGAGGGAGAATATCCCAGGGACTCCTCCCAAGCGATGGTGGCCCCAAGGTAACATCACAAAGACAAAACTGTAATGTGTGTTCCAGGGTTATGTATGGCCGACTTCTAGGTACTGTGCTGTTCTTGCTGCCTCCTGTGCCGACACCCCTGCTGTGGGGTAACTGGATTTAGCTTTACAGGTTCGAGAGCCACGGGCCACACTTGCTAGGAAGGCCTGTATGCAATGCCACTCACTCTGTCCCTGGTCCGTGTGCCTGCCCTATCCAGGACCCAGTGTATTTCCGCAAGCCAGCGTCCTACCCACCCCCAGTCAAGGGGGTACACACCAAGATCAGATGGCATTTAGTCCCTCCATGCGAGCCCACCACCAGATCTCTTCATTTGTCAACTGGCACACTCTGGAGGCACATTTCTGAGCTCTGGGCACCAGGGAGACACACTCCCAGTGTCCTTAAACCTACGTCCTATTTCCACACAAGGGCTCAGCCAACTCATGGCTACAAGGACTCCTGTGTGGTGGCAGTCCTGCCTGCTGCCCTGACATGCCTGGGGGTAGTGGGCTCAGGAGCAAATGCACCTGAAAGGCTAAGCTCACCAGACTAGGTAGAGGAGGGTTCAGGCAGCCTAGCAATGGTCCTAGCTGTCCAGCTGCCACGGCGAGAGAAACACTGAAATGATGCCCAGGCCGTGGAGGCATATTTATTTACATTGATGGGCACTGATCAGGATCATTCCCAGAATATCGGGGCCCCAATCTCTGGTGATCTAGGGCTTATATAAGATAAATAAGCAGGAAGTACAGAGGCAGCATGGCTTGTCATGTAGGGACTGGTTTATACAAAGGGCATCACAGTGACCAGTTGTTTCTAAGAGATAGGAGCAGCCAGATCTGGAACAAGAACTATTTCCTGGGCAAATAAAAAAGTGAAGTATACTGGCTTGGGGGGCACTTTCTGCTACTCAGCCACAGATGTGGGTGGGTGAGGGTACAGCCCTGAACTTCTGAAGGCACAGGTCTCACACCTGGTCAGTGTCGTATATATGGGCACATCTGGGCCCTAAGCTCACGGGCCCTGATCCATGCCGAGAACAGAGAGGTCCTGGCACACAGATGCACAGATGCTGCCAGGTTGCACGCATAGCTGCTCAGATGTCCGCTGGCCTCTGCTCCAAGAGTGGCCCTTGGGCCAGCAGCATGCTGCCCTTTTGAAGGAGCCACACTACAAAAGTTCAGACAGCTCTGACCTTCAGCTTTTTCTAAACAGGTCGGTTCCAAGTCCCATTTCTAACAACACTCTACTAGGCAGAGGCTCAAAACAAAACAAAAACAAAAAAACACATACTTAAGTTTTCCCTACCAAAAAGCCAAGAAAGAAGGGTGAACTGTGACACAGGAGTGGGATGCTCAGAGCAGCTATGACAGAGATTCTCTTCCCCTCCTCTTATTCAGGGTCTCTAGTCTGGCCTTGAATTTTAGGTCTTCCTGCCTCAGCCTCCCAACTAGCTGGGATCGTAGCATGGGCCACCTTATCTGATTCCCACTGTTTTCTCAGGTATGTTAATTTAATGACTGAGAAAAGCTTAGGATGTAGGAGGAGGACAGAAGCAGAGTTGAGGCTGGGGATGGGAAGCAAAGGGAAGACAGGAACTATAGCCAAGTGCCCCCCAAACCCTCAGAGCTGAGTGAGGCTATGGAGGCCAAACCAGATGGCTGGTCCAGTCAGGCCAGTCGTGACTCCCTCAGCCTCCACCAGCAGCTGGGCCCCAGCTACCTGCTTCCCAGGGGATACAGAGGCCTCAACCAGGGGTGCTCATCGAGACTGGAGATGGGGCCAAGATCATTACACCACCTGCTCCCTCTCGGGGGTCTGTCTACCAGGTGGCCTTCATAGGGTTGCGGCCCCATCTCCCTTGAGTGAGCACACTGAGGGTCGGGTTGGGTTGCCAGGGCTATAAACTCTGCAGCTGCACAAACCTAACTTGGCCTGTCCAAGCGCTGAGACAGAGATGGGGCCCCCTGGGGCCCCTCACCCCCTGGATAGGCTCTAAGGCTCTCTCCACACCCGACAGGAGTGGGAGATTTTGAGGCCCTTAAGTGAAGTCATGCCTGACAGTGCTTCCAGCAAGCCGAGCTGTGTGTGGAAGGAGTCTTCTTCAAGGGCAGCACTGTGGCCAGGCACTAGGATGGGGACAGCCACTTGTGACACAACAGGGGTCTTGAGCCTCTTGGGAGGACAGATACTCTCAGCACAGGTATGCAAGAGACATGCCTTGTGTCTTTCCCAGCGAAGCTCACAGAGCAGGGCCCCTAAGCAGTCTTCAGGGACTCACTGGAGGGACGGTCTGTCCTGAGTCACGTGTCTGGAAACGTGACCCCTAGCTCTGAGTAAGCAGGTGAATTCTCTGCTGCAGCTCCCTGTTGAGGCCACTGGGGCCAACTCACGGTCACAGCTGAGTTCTGGGTTCTGGGGGCTAATTCAGCTTCGGTTTGAAGGGTGGCGACAGCCGGTGCCCAGCCTGCTTTCCTGTCTCCCGGCCCCTTGGCCTCAACCGCTCTATGGAGTCTATGACTAACAGGGCTGTGTGATGTTTACACAAGAAGCGGGCTGGGTTCACATTTCAGTGAGAGGGCACTGCAGTGCTCCCTGCCCTCTGGAATGGAATTGTTTCCTCTCTGTGCAGGGTGTGCCCCAGACTGAGGACCTGGCTCTCTCTGTCCTTCTCCTCACTACTTTGGCGAGCTGCAGGCTTGGCTGGGAGGAGGGCTGTCGCACAGCACTAGGTGACTCCTGTGTTCCTGCCTCAGGGGATAGCAGAAGAGCCTCACACAATAACTGTCACCCAGCAGTGGGGCCAGCCCTCAAGCTCTGCCCAGGACATTTTTGTCTCCCTTGAGGCTCCCAGAGAAAGAAGAGTGTGACTAGCTGCTGTGCAGTCCCAAGTGTTGTGTGTGTTGTTCTTTGACACACACAGGTCAGGGGACACAAATCTACCCTGCTAACAGCAGAGGTGGGGTCTGTGGGATTTCTGTTCCTAAATCTCTGTTGCTGCCACTTTCTCTATGAAACCACTTCCTCAGCATTGCAGTGTTTGGGGGACCAAGCTCTGTCCTTATTGTGTCCTTCTCTGGGCTAAATATATCTCAGCTTGTTGAAAACCAGCCTCAGCTAAGAAGCAGATGGTGGCAGATTTGGGGGGTGGGGGCGAGCTGGCGTCCTCCCATGCTGGTAGTGAGGAGCTGCTTGACTCCTGTGTGCTTATCTGTGCCCAAAGACTCAGGGTCTCACACTGCCCACCCGAGTTACTCTTTTGGTCTCATGGACAAGGGCACATGGCGGGGAGCCCTGCATTTCTGAGGGTCACAGCAGCAACTGCTGATGGATGACCTTCGAAGTTCACCATCAGGAACCTTCTCTACAGCAGGCCCTGTCCCTGCAGGAAGACCCTTTGCAGATCTGGATGGAGAAGTTCTAAGAGGTGTGGCTAGCAAGATGACAAAACAAAACCAGAAAATAAATGGGCCACCAGAAGAACCAAGGAAGACTGATCCCAGAGTTTCAAGACTCAAACCATACTCACAGATTATTTGTAACCTTTTTAAACCAAAAAAATTTTTAGTAAAAGACTCTGTGACACTCTTTCATGGAGGTTATTAAGGAAGATCAAAGAAACAGGGATGGTCACTGTGACCCCGGGCAGGCTAGGCCCAGGTTCACAGCCGTGTCACTCAAAATTGCAGCAGTCAGGAGCAGCAACAGATTTCCGGGTGGGAGGTGGCCCTCAGCTCCAGGAAAAAAGGAAATCTAATTTGTCTTGGTTAATAAGAGGAGCCCTGTGTTTCCCAAGGGGCATCGGCTTCTGATTTGACAAGGTGATCTATTAGTATGGGTTCCAAAAGGTCACAGTACCCAGTAGCATCACCTCCACCAGTGTGAGGCCCTGGGGGATTCTGGGAAGCATCCCCATCAGCCCCACTTCTGTTCCCTGTATATTTTATCTGAAAAGTCCCCCAGTCTGGGCTTTTCTCTAAGGCACAACATAACGCCATTTGCTTCTCCATGGACGTATCTTCCACATGCAGTGGGCAGCCCTGGCAGCAGTGACATCTGTCATGCAGTGGTGTGGACCCCATGTGCCAAGACTGTTTCGTGGTCCTCAAACATTCAGCCGAGGGGTGCAGGGAAGCCACTCCTTTCCTCCACAATCCTGCCTGCTGCTGCCTGCTAATCCCATCAGGGGGTCTGGCCTCTCTCACACATTTAATGATGAATCAGTGTGTGGCGTGTGGTATATGAAGCTCGGGGACCTCAATCATCCAGTGACGCCCTCCACTGTTGCTCCGCACAGCACTGAGATTTACTGCTGACCAAGGACCTCATGCCAGCAGGGACGCCCTTTGCAGGGAGCAGAGCCCGTGCTGACAACTCTCTGCTCCCTGGGGAATGAAGTGTGCACTGCTGGCCTCTGGTTTGACTCTCAGATCGTCCCAAGGTCTTTTGCCCAGCCTGCCTCATCTCAGCTTGTTGCCATTCTCTATAACACACAGGAAGCCATCACGGGGTCAACATCGGGTGGCCTGGGCTGGAGGAAACTGAACACATTCCTACTTTCGTTCCCAGGAGAGGATAAGAGCTAACACCTATTTATTTATTTACTTACTTAGTTTTTTGAGACAGGGTCTCACTATATCATTCAGGTTGGCCTTGAACTTACTATGTACCCCATGCTGGCTTCGAGTTTGAGGCAGCCTTCTTGCCTTAGCCTCCTGGGAGCTGAGATTCCAAGTATGTGCCACTGTACTTTGGCCATTATTTAATACATGACCCCAGTCATTGTCATTTGGCAGGTGTCCATAGGGTAAGCCTGTGGGCCATGACCTCCTGCCCCTTTGACAGTCCTGAGACCTCTGCCCAGCTCTGGAGGAGAAGGATGTTTCCTGGGGACGTGGCTAGGCTGTCACCCTCATCAGTGCTATGTGGCATCTACTGTTAAGCTTTGTGTTCTACAAGGACATTTCTATACTGATGCCCATCAACAGGAAGAGTCCTGTGTACCTCTGATTCTGTCACCTTCCTGGGGCAGGCAGAACCTAGGCTGTTCTGGGGATTATCTGCAGGCTCAGAGCTGTGACATGAGTAGCGTTATCCTCAGATAAACCAAGCAGCAGAGCCCACGGCCTCCCAGGTCATAGTATCCAGTTCTTCACAGTGGCACACAGCTCTAGCTGCCATGGGACCCTCAGGTGGTGTGACTTCTCTGGACAAAGAGCATGTATAACCTTTTCCCTCTTAAACTTGTCAACAAAACATGCACAAACAGGAAGGCCTTTTTCTTGCATCTTTGTAGAGAAATGAGCCTGACTTTTGGAATGAAGGAGCCTGGCAGCAACAATGCCTGATACCTGTCCAAACCTTCAAACAATAGCTATGACGTCCGGGCTGGGGCTGTGGCCCTTTGGCCTCGATGCTAGCTATAAACAGAAGCTGTATGTCCTGGGGGACCTCCAGGGATGGTGAGGCCAAAAGCCCTTTACCTTGAAAGTGGTTGCAGATTCCGGACTGGTGAGGACCAGAGGTGAAATGAGGGCCATGCCGGCGAAGAAGCCGGGCCTCTCCGAGGCCGCAAGGATGCTGATGGCTCCACCCTGCAAAGCAAGTAGGTCACATATTTCCTACAGCATGACCCGCTCCTGGCCAAGAGCCTGAGGAGAAGCTACCTTGGAATGGACACGGTCAAATGTTGGACAAACTAGATCTGAAGTTATTTTATCACACCTCTTTTTCCCTGTCTGGGTTTTCTAAGAGGGAACATTTCAGAAAGATATAAATAAGGTTCCTGCCCATGGGCCCTGAGTTAAACAATAAACACAGTCTCTTCATTTCAAGCCAAAAGCTGGCAGACCGGCGACTCATCCATTCTGAGTTTGATATGAGATTTTTGGGAGAGGAACGGGCGGGGGTGGGATGGTAAAATCCAATCATAATAATAGATTGCTATATTTTTTTCTTGGTTTCATAAAGGCTTCAGAAATTTAGTTTCTAAGAAGAATGCTCAGTGACTATGGATGGTGAGGGAGGAGGGAGGGCTTGGCTGTTGGAAGCTCAAAGGTAATTAAAGCCAAGGATGCTATTTCAGATGTTCAGTGGGCCAGGCAGGGAAGGGAGACGGAAGAGCAGAGGCCGAAAGTGAGAAGATTACAGAGGCCTCCCCTGGTGAATGTCTCCAGGCATTCAGCTTCAAGAAGTCCCAGTTCTCCACCAACTGGTCAACCTTTCTGTGGGCTGATCTGGCCTGGTAGGAGGATCCCTAACTTCATGATTAAACCTGGATGATTCCTGGGAGATTCTGCAGATTCATGCAGTAAAGAGGCTTTTGAGTGGCTTTAAGGAATGGCTTCCCCAGGGACCCTGTGAGATGGCACTGCAGGGACAAAGAGGACAGATAGAGGACGTGCCCTGGCTTCCCTGGGGGCTATATACAGGAACTGGCCTGCGTCCTGAGCTCTAAGATACCCAAAATTCTAAGTGCAGGATGTGTGGACCGCAGTGGGGAGAAAGCCAGGCCACACCATACCCCATGACCCCACGAGGCTGGGTGCCAGGCGTCATCTGAGCTAGTCTCTAGCTGTTTGCTTACCATGGAGTGGCCCAGCAGGAAGATGGGCAGGCCAGGGTAGTCCTTATGCATGGTGTCCACGTGCTGCAGCACGTCCCTGACAAAGACGTGGAAGTCAGACACCATCAGCCGCTCCCCATCACTCCGACCATGGCCAACTGGAAAGGAAAGAGAAGTCATCAACTGACCCTCTGGATGTAGCTTCCCACTGAATCCTCCCTTGCCCACCACCATGAATGCTGCAGTTCTTGCCTGCTCCTTTTATAGAAAAGGAAATCAAAGCAAGGGTGTTTAAGGCACTTGCTCCAGATCACATAGCACAGAAGCATAGCATGCTCAACTGTCCTCTGGGCACAGTACTCTGGGCACAATGTCCAAGGAAGGCAGAGACACAGAGACAGGCCCGGACTCAGTTTCTGCGGTGGCTGAGGATGCCTGTGTGGGGCTCAGCACCTCCCTGCACCTTGACCCTCACAGCCCGGCCACTATCATCTTTTACCAGCTAGCTAGAGCTGAGTCTGCTGCCTCCTTGTGTGGCTTCAGGTGAAGATTATGTGACAAACTTGGAGTAAAATGAGACAGCCAAGTATGTCTGCCAGGAATCCTCTCAATGGAGTGGCAGTAATACTAGGTCACACATGGCCCTCTGGATTTTTTGTTTTATTTGTCACATTGCTGTGCTGTTCACCTCCCCTTCATTTCTCCCTCAGGGTTCCTCCGTGATTTCCCTTTGAGAAGGACCTTGTTACTATGAGAACCACCATGCGGTTGAGGGGATGGCACAAAGGCTTCAGGAGCAGGAAGTGTTTCCAGGGAGCTGGGTGGGAGCCAGGGCCATGCCTGTCCTGTGGGGGTTTCTTGTCCCTTTTTCCAGGGGTCCTGGAATGACAACAGTGCTCCTCTGACAGTGGAAAGGGATGAGGGAGTCTCAGGCCTGGAACTATCTGTTTTTCCCCCTCTCTATTTCCTGGCCACCGTGAGAAGAGAAGCCTTCATGCCCTTTTGGTGTCTCTGCCTCACACCAGCCTGGGAGCAGCGGAGCCAGCAATCATGGACTGAAACCCCACAAACCGTGAGCTGAACCAAACCTGTCCTCCTGGATTACAGCACACAGCATGGCTCCAATGGTGAAAAACTAAGACACTTCCTAACTCTGTTCTCCCTGTTTCCTTTTGTTGGAAGACTTTTGCACTTGAGCTGTTTTTTATTTAAAAAATGAATTTTAGGAGATAATCCACTCACATGATTCAACTGTCAGAGTGGTATGCAGGGTAGACACGGAGTGGTCTCCTTCCTACCTGTGTTCCCTTCCACCCTCTTCCTCTCATCCTTCTGGACAAACAAACACAGACATCAACACAGGCCTCTGCAAGGCAGAGGGCAGGTTGTGCCTGTGTTATTCTATTTTCTAAAGAACCAGTTTGCCCAGAGTGGTTCCATTTTGAGCACAAGTTCCAAGGTACAGTGACCTCACACCTTGTCTATACAAATAACAACCACCACCAGGCTAGCACAGCCATAAGGCTCAAACTGGTAACTTATTCACACCAACAGATGACTTACTGCCAGATGTGGCGGTGTGCACCTGTAATCTCAGTATCTGGAAGGCTGAGGCAGGAGAACTGCTACCAGTTTCAGCCAGCCGAGGCTATATACAGGACTCCATTTCAAAAGACCAAAAAAAAAAAAAAAAAAGGGAATTTAGGAACTTATCAAATTACCTGAGGACCACCACGATACACAGGTACAGAAAATCATACCAAAAAAAACTAGGCCTAGAGCTTACCAAACCTGTTACCTAAACTTCTAAAGGAGGAGCCCCCCAGACAGTTAGTGGCAAAATGCAGGATCTCTGCCTGGTCACCTGTCATGAGCCCTGACCAGGAAACTAGCAAATGATGGACTTCTGGCTCTCTGAATACAGCGCCAGCTCATCACAGCTTTCTTCCTGCCTGTGACACAAAGCCTCTTGGATACTGCTTGGTCTGTGGACCTGCTCCCTGGGCAGGGCTGAACCAGGGCTGCTCTGCTCATCCAGCCTCTTCGGCATGGGCCTCCTCATCTGCCTCTGGCCTTCTGTGGCCTCTTGAAATCCTGCAGTAGTCTTGAACACTTTCCTAGTCATCCTGGGGTCTGCACGTCACTGTGTGAAGTGTGACATGTGATGTGAGTGTGATTACATTAGTAATCAAGACTGGGATAGAATAAAAGCACTCGTGATCACCATGGTCACGATTACCAAGTAAAACCAAGTTCCCAGTGAATGAAAGCTAAACATACTGATGGAGGTTCTGCATTTGCTGTTATTCACAATTCTGATATGGGAGAAAGACAGAACGTGTCTATCTATGCTAACAGCACAGCGCTGTCAGCACCCTGTCTCAAACACAGAACCACCTATGACACATTCCATGCCTTGCTTTGTTCACCTGATAACATATTCTGAAGATGTTGCAATATGTGAAAGAAAGCTGCTATCTAGCTTTTTTCTTCAACATTTTTATTGCAAAAATTTCAAATGCACAAAAGAATATTTCCTGGAACAATATTCCTGTAAACACCCATATGCCTACTTATCTTTATTCAAAAGTTATGATTTTATTTTTTTGTATGTATATACATTTATAAAGATAAAAGTAATGGAATCATTTAAAGATAAGTTGTAATGTTTTTTATTTTTGTTTTTTGAGTCCTGGTTGGCCTTGAACTCACTATGTACCCCAGGCTGGTCTTGAACTTGTGGTAATTCGCTGTCTCAGGCTCCCAAATCCTAAGATTACCACCACATCCAGCCCTGAACCTTCCTAGGCTCCCAAATCAGTTACCTTCTTTGCACTTTCCTGTCACTTGAGGGAGTCGAGATCCTTGCTGACAGTTAACTTGTGCCAGTGTCTTCGCCAGTCCCCGCGGCTGCCCAACCCATCCTGCACACTTCCGCCCCCTCATCCCAGCTGCTGTGGTCTTGGCCACACTTCTCCCATTGTTTCCCAGCACAGTACACAGATTCCAGCCCGCATCCTTGGCTCCTGCTCATTCCAGGTCCCGTGCACACCCACACGCTCTGTCCCAAGCCTCTGAGCTACAAGGTGCCAAAAAAAGCTCACAGGGGAGTAGCCAAAAGACACAGCATCTCATCTCCCTTCTCTCAGAGAACTAGTCTAGTTAGTGCTCATTTTCTTACAGAAAGAAAAACGGTAAGTCTTCAGACTGGAGAGTTAAACTGGAAGAAGGCACTGATTCGTATAGAGCCAGGATTTTCCACATAGTTTCTGGATTTTACGTCATGGAACCCTCACAAGTTTGCAACTTGCAGATTCTTTTCTCTTCTAGCTGCAAGCTGAGATAACGGCTCCCAGCCAGCGTGTGGTAGGCTGGGACTCAGGTTGGGTTTTGGGTTCTAGGTTCAGGGTCTTTGCTGTCACGGCTCATGGAAGAGCACAGGCCGCAAACAGGAGACTTGGAGACTGAAGAAACGGGGAAAGGTCCTTTCTGACACACACAGCTGTATCTTTCCACGTCTCTGACTGTAGAGCTTGGGCCTGGGATGAAGCTGAGCCCTACTTCCTGCGGCAAGGGGCTCGCTGCGACCAGGGCTGAGACTGAGGCCACTGGGCAGCCTTCCCGGAGCCTGTGCATACACAGGCGGGCAAGGCTGCAGGGTCGGAGAAGGGGCCGTGTCCTGGAGGAGCCACTCAGCCTCTGCTTAGAGGGATATTAGGCCTGGGAGGATTTTACCCACAAGTACATTAAAAAAACTGGCCCCTCTTTCTTTCTTACTTTCCCTATAACATCACCACAGAAAGTCTTATCAAAAAGTTTTGTGTAACTGTCTCAAAATAAAAAATATAAAGGGTTGGGGGTATAGCTCAGGGAAATGTATCCCTGGGTTTGATACCCTGAGGCCGACTCCAATCTGTCCTGCTCACTCCCGGGACTCTCAGGGGACAAGCCTGGTGCTTTTCTGTACTTTCTCGAATCCAACCCTGGCTGTGTCTTTTGTCAGCAGAGAGCGGACCTGGAATGCTGGCATAGGACTGGCATGACCTCATCGGCTCTCCAGCTCCTGAAGGATGATGTCCACAGATGTCAGGGTTCCTTGCTCCCAGGTCCATACCCTCCCTGAGAGGACACTGCCTTTGCTGCCTGGGAAGGGGTGACTGGGGGCCCTCATGCCCTCCACCAGGCTTCTGTACATACAGGACCTACTGTGCCTGCGCAGGTGCTCCTGAGACCCGGCAGGGGATGCACGGGGTGTCAGGGATGAAGGATCAGTGAACTCTGTGACAGGCTCTGTGTCCACTCTCAGCCAGGCACACTTGCCTTAGGGAACCCCAAGGGGGTCTTTCCTCCGGCAGGAAGGAGCCTCCTGCTGAGCTGGGGCTCTGAACAGTTGGCCTCAATTTCCCTGGAACCATCTATCAAGGGGCAGCCTCCTTTTCCTGAAGCCTGGGTTTTGGTCCTACATTCCCAGCTACCAGCAAGGTCCAAAAGAGAGGACTCGCACAGAAACTGCATTTGGACCAATGTGACAGATGGTCACTGTGATGCCTCGTGTCTGGAAGACCACATGATGGACTCCTACAAGCCCAAAGGGACAATGAAGCCCCTTGAGGATGAACACCAGAAGGAACAAGCCATTGTTGGTGCAGCAGGTGAGACTTAGTCTCACTTCTAAATGAAAGGGAAGCATAGAGTTGATGCGGACAGAGAAACTGGTGCCACTGCTTGGGAGGGTGACTTGGCATCCTGAAAGGTTGAGTCTCTACCCTTTGCCAGCCAGTGTACCCCAGGATGTAAGTGAAACTCCTGGATATGGGTCACTGGGACACAGGAATAATTCTTAGCAGCTGCTGTTAGAACTAGACAGTGGAGACATTCTCACAACACAGTCAGTCAACAGTGAAAGTGAATAAAGGAAAAATGACACAACATCATGGAGCAATCTTAGAAATCAAATATAAAGTAAGCCAGTCATGGAAGAGCTTGAGCACGATGCCTCCACGTTAAGGGAAAAAATAAACCAAGCAAGCTATTTTTTAGATATCTATATGTATGTGATAAAATACAAAATGAAAAAGCAATGGAATGAAATGCAACTCTCGTGACAGTAAAAGCTTCTAGTCTTTTTCCTATCTATAAAGTGGGGAGATGGTAATTC